TTTTTACTTCCAGACTTTCACTTATTTCTCCATATTAAATATCGGTGCATGGTTTCTCAAGAATTACCTATCACTAATTGTGATAAGCATTCAAAATGACAAAATAATTTTAGCATTCAGAACTGCTCAGGCGTCCTGCTCATCTATTATGTATTCAAAGTCAATATCAGGTAAGAATCCTTACTTTCTTACTAATATAATAAAGGCGAAAGTGACTCTATCTGTCTATCGCGCTTTTACGCCAAAACTACTATACCGATTTATACGAAATTTGATAGTTGTTGCGGCCTCTTTGACAGGACTGCTTGCTGGCCGCTTATAAGACGTAACTAGGTAAGATGGAACAATTGCCAAGAGACGAATACGACAGACACAAATACGGACGAGAATATATAATTTTTGCTAATTATATTTTATTATCCTACAAGCTCTCTTTTCATTGACGACGACATTTCTTAACGGTCGGCCGACCGTTCAATAGTCTAGACCCTGAGAAAGGATATAGGCTAGTTTTTAATGCGAAAGAAGGATTGTAAGGAGTTGAAAAGGGAGATGAAAGGAAGGGAAGAAAGATTGTATGGAAGTATTGTCATTTTTAAAGCTAGAAAGCTATAAATATAATATTAAAGGTTTGTAAAAATGTTACTCTTAAAGGGTAAAATAAAAAAGGCGATGTAAGTTTGTATGGAAATTCGTCATTTTGAAGCTAGAACGATGAAACCGTTTTTTTTGGCTCTTTTTTGAGATATATAAATAATATTAACTCAAGTTTACAATTTTCAAATATATTTAATAAGCTAATCAGAGTCTTATTTTATAACAACTAATATACAAACACAGATTAAATTTATTTAAAACAAACAAACAAATTCTTTAATTATAAATATGTTTGTACCGTGCGTGGCATCGAACCCGCGACTATCGAAAGTATAACGTATTATGTACGTATACGATGTACTAAACAGCTAGACCACCGAGGTTATTATTTATATGTCTAACATATTTAACGTGTATTTTTAATATTTCTTTTTATAGAAGAGGAGAGGAAGATTTACAAGAATATACTACGCCTGAGCCGTGTTTCGTTTAGCAAGAACAACGCATACGGCCTGTGTGAGATCGACGCCACCCTACCGCAGCGTTTGCTAAACTTACTCGCTACTTACACTATAGTTCTACTACAGTTTGATTTAGGATAAAAATCATAATAATTATAGCTGCCCATAATAAACATAATAATAATAAAAAAATTTTTTTTTTATGTTACAACCGCATTCGTAATCCAAACTGACTTGATGACTTGATCTGTTTTACTTGCGACGGTCGCGGGTTCGATTCTTCGCAAGGTACGAGAATAGAATAGAATAGAATAGAAAATCATTTATTCAAATAAACTTACATTGAAGCACTTTTGAATAGTCATCACATTTTTTTTTATTCTATCGCTCATTCGCTTTTTTCGCATTCCGCTTTTAAATAATTTTATTCTTACTTACAATTTAAGTTTAAGTGTGTGAATACAAACTACCGATTAGCACTAATTCAATTAAATAATAAATTTAAAAAAATATTTAATACACAACAACTGGTTAAATATTCATGAGTGTGATTGTTTGTATTGGTCTCAGTGTTTGCTATGTATATTATGTATGTTATCTACTTGTTTAGTACTCATAACACAAGGTCTGCTTACCGTGTGACTAGATTACGCTGTGTTAATTGTCCAGGCTTATAAAAAATTCCTAATTTTTCTAATATTCCTAATTCCTAATTCCTAACTTCGTCTACATCACAGTACCTTAACATTTATCATTATATTTCAACCAATTTACTTGATTAATACTATTTATCTGATTGAATGCTAAATTAATTAAGGTCGAACTTAACCACTGAGCGAACATTACTTCAAGTAACATTCATTATTGTTATTGAAATCAATAACAACCTACCAACTGAACTCAGTCATCATGCAGTTCGTGTTGAAATGACAATGTTTTAATTCGTAGTATTTCTTTAATAATAAACACTATGGTCAGTTATTACAAATCAAATTCAGATATTTCCTTCAAGAATAAAATAAGAAAAGATTTCCAAGCATTGTTGCGCCCATTGGATATCACACAAAACATTTTTTGTCTTCAAAAGTATCATATTAGAGAGAACAGACTAATTACAAAAGATAAATGCTCAAAGATAGTTTCATTGTGTGGTACTATTTTACTTATATCAATATATTCCTTGAGATTAAGAGAATTATTTTACGTTCATGGTGCAATTATTGTAATATTGGATATTCTGTCTTGTTCAGCCGGTTTTTTAATTAATTTAATAGCGAATATATACCACGCAAACAACAATGTTTTGCTGATGCTAAAAATTCAACACATCAATACAATTTTAGGAAACTGTTCGATGAAAAGTGTAACCAAATGGAATTGGATTTGTATTTGTTTTATGTTGTTATACCATATCTATGTTCTATGTATGGGCACTATAATATCTATTACGACGACCATAAGTCTAATAACTTTAGCTATTTTTGATTTAAACATGATATATGCAACAAGAGTATTGAAGCTTATCAATTGTCAATTTCGCCACTGGATTTGTCAACTTCAAACATCCTGTATTGATAATGCATATTGGGAAAAGTGTTTTTATATTTACAATGATATTATAGATGTTTACAATATATATAAGAGTGTATTTCAGATTTGGGTAAGCAGTTTGTTGTTCATAATTGTTGTTTCGATGTTATTGTGTTGTTATTTAATAAAATATTTTATTATTACAAATTTTTAAAGTAAATATATGTAATTTAATTGATATAATGTATTTTTCATTGTAGGTTCTTTATAATGTTTGGATGACGTTTATTCATACACTCACATACGTGTATAAAATTATAATTTTAAGCATCTTAGTATACGAGCAGGTTAATAGCGAAATAGATTCTGTAAGTTTATACATTCTTTTGAGTCACATTGCTTGTATTATTTATATAACATCAGGTACTAATACGAATAAATTTATGGTAAATACTAGCTGACCCGCCAAATGTTGTTCCGCCATATTAATTAATCAGTTATACACCGCCGAGAGTAGAAAATTATTAGTAATAAAAAGGGGTTAATGGTATAACGGTTATTTGTATTACTAATGCCAAATCTTTAAAATCTTCATTACCAAAAACAAATTGAAAAATTTTGAAGCAGATCCTTATTTTTTATGAGGTGAAAAATAGTGTAGGTTCTCTTCTCAGATGTAGTGAACACTCAGACAAAATTTCATATGAATCGTGTCGGAGTTATTTTCGCACTGTGAACACGAGAATTTTATAAATTAGAAGATGTTTATGTAGTATCTTATTAATATTATAAACGAGAAAGTTTGTTAGTATGGATGGATGTCTGTTACTCTTTCACGCAAAAAGTACAGTAACGGATTTTGATGAAACTGTACAGTAATATAGCTTATACATCAGAATAACACATATCTAGGCTATAAATTTGACGCGGATGAAACCGCGGGCACATCTAGTATTCATATATATTATTATATGATAGAATTTATATGTATAGTAATCATGTAAATATATATTTTTGTATAATAATCAATAACGTAATGTAAAATAAATTTTATATACTTAATGTCTAATATTAAATTACAATATTTTTGACAATAATGAATATGTTTGTTTTCAGTTTTATTACCTCGTAGCGGATATTATGATAATACAAAGGATATTCAAGAATTTTACTATTCTCACAATTTTTTGTATCGAACAAGAAATGTTTTACACAAACATACAAGAAACAAAATTAATTTGTTCATTACTCTTAAAGAAATTTACATATTTAGGTATGTATTTGACGAACAAATGACATGTAAATTATTATATATTATATAGTATATAATAATAGCCGGGGTGTGTTGCTAACCCGCCCCGGCTTCGCAGGGGTGTTATACATATAAAGCTTCGTCTTGAATCACTATCTATTGGTAAAAAGTCGTTTAAAATTCATTGGGTAGTTTAAAAGACATAAGCCAACAGATAGCTGAATAGACTGTATTTTATACCATGTGAAGATGACGAGTAGATCCGGCAAACGTCGTCTTGCATGAAGAAGCAGATTCATCTACCGAGTTCAGCTGTATTTCAAACCACCCAGGGACCAATTGAAATATATACACAAAATTTCATCAAAATCCGATCGGTCATGTCCTTAAGGCATGGTCGGTGATAGAGACTTAGCATGGTGGAAAAATTCACGCGCTACTGAAAATATTTTAATTTTAAAAACCTAGTTTTTAAGATTCAATGTTCTTCGCTCAACATTTCAGTTCAAATGAATAAATAAATTATTATAATATTACTAGGAGAGCATGATTCTGCAAAAATTCTCCAAACAAACCCATCAGGGCCTCCTCGATTTTGTCGTTTCCTAAATCCATACTCTTTTCGTAATTAAATTATATATATATATATATATATATATATATATATATACTAGCTGTCCCGACAGACGTTGTTTTGCCTAAAAATAAAAAAAATATTTAGGGGGATGAAAAATAGATGTTGCCGATTCTCAGACCTACTCAATACGCTCACAAAATTTCATGAGAATCGGTCACGCCGTTTCGGAGGAGTATGGGAACGAAAACTGTGACACGAGAATTTTATATATAAGATTAAATACTATTAATATTTATTCCCCAGGAAAACAAAGAAGAACTTGCAAGAATATACAGCGCATCAATAAATCGGTGTTCCGCAATATGACGGCCTGCAACATATTTGTCGTTAATTCTAAGTTACCATTAAAGTTGTTGGCTCTACTTGCTACTTACACTGTTGTAATACTGCAGTTTGTATTCACATAAAATAAATAAGTAATCTTCTTTACTTTTATTATATTAACCTTTTAAAATCGCGATGAGGCGAAATCTGACAGTTCGTGTGTTAATTTTTCACGCAAAACAGTATTTATAAAATAAAGATGGCGCGCGGTGCATACCTAACGAAAACTGCTGAAGAGCAGAACTTACACGCGCCTAAAGACGAACTAGTGCACAATGTTACAATTTAAATATAGTATAGTTTTAATTGTATTGCAATTAAAACTATATATACAAGAAAAATATTTTCTAACGTCTGAAACAGTTTCTGAAACAGTTTCAATTCTTCAGAATTTCACTCGCAGATAGATACTGTTATAAAGAGCGACTTAGACTACTTATACGTTATATATATATTTTTATTAAAAACATACCCCACCAAAGTTAGTTTTTGTGTAATACAGGACGTTTCTGTCAATTACATGTATTTGTTTTTGTAGATATAGATTTCATCGAGGTAGATTTTGTGTAAATTATTCAGCATTTCTTAACTTCAATACTTAATCATTTTTTCTTCGTAGACTTACGTAAAATAACACCTAAATCGATTAAATATACTATAATTTTATTTAAAATTCCCATAGCATGCTATGGATGTATTTGTGCCCATACATTAGAATCTATATTTCTCAATTGTAGTTAAGTATAGATCGTAATGTAACTGGAAACGCAGTTATATTACGATCTATAAGGATATACAATTTAAAAATTATCGGCTGCATTTTACTACAAAATACACAGTAGTACTACGTAGTTGTATTGTGTCTATTTTTAATAGGTCACTTCATTAACTTTTGTATTTGTCATGTGTTTTATATGAACAAACATATCGCCTACATACAACGATATTTATTTAATTAGAGTCTACACATGTAATATATTGTCAAGCAAATTAATTGATTACTGGCTTTTGTAATTACTTATACCAACGTCTATTAAATTTATAAATTCATTTAATAATAACATTATACCAATAGTTAGTCTCACACGAAGTTATTACAAAGATAACGTACTGTATATTTGAAAAAGAAAATTATAAATTATAAAAACAATTTATTCAAATTTAGAATTGCAAATAATGTGTTACTAAAATAAAATAATTCGCCGGAGCCAAAAGAATAAAAACAAAAAAAATTGGTTCAATATTAATAACAAAATGATAATAGAATATTATTCAAATTCGAATTCCTATTTAAAAAATAATATAATAAAAAAAGATTTCCAAGAAATGCTTCTACCATTAGACATTTTATCAAACATATTTTTCCAACAGAAATACCACATTCGTCAAAATCGTATAACTCCAAATGGAAAAATTTCAAATGTCGTTTCGATATTTGGTACTATTTTATTTATACTGCTGTATGCAATGAGGCTACAAGAAATGAAAGAAACACTTTACATTTTAAACATCGTAGTTATATTAGACGTTGTGTCTTATACGATAGGGTTCATTGTCAATTTAATAGTAAATTTATCTCAAACTGAGAATAATGTCAAAATGATATTAAAAATACAAGATATAAATACGATTTTGGATAAAAATAGTGGCATATTCTGTATAACTAAGTGGAATTGGATCAATTTATTAATACTGATGTCGTATTATGGGTTCACAATGTGTGTTATGTTCAAGTATAATATATTTTCAGTTAGAATATATATTGCATTGCTAACATTGATGTCGTTTGACTTAAATATTAATTACGCCACGAGAATATTGACACTAATTAATCATGAATTCCGTTTGTGGATCAACCGCCTCGATAATAATCAGATTGTCAGCAACATGTCTAAAATAACATTTGGAAATGAATTTTGGGATACAATCTGTTATATTTACAATGATATTATGGATGTGTATGATATGTTCAGAAATGGGTTTCAAAGTTGGGTATGCATTATACATGTTTGGTTCAATATTTTTAATACCATGTAAATAAAATTGAAGTGTATGTTTGTAATTTCATAGCTCCCAACTTTTTAAATCCTTTCAGATTGTGTACAGTGCTTGGGTGATATTTATGCATGCTCTTTTATATGTCTACAAAATTATATATCTAAGCAAAGCACTAAACAACTACAGCGATCACAAACAACAAGTAAGTTCCTATACTATCCTTACTGATATTATAAATGTAATAATATTAAATCAACGAGACACCAACTAAGTGAGCCCTTCTTTAAATAACAATTAATTATTATTGAAAATCATGTATATGTATATATTTCTATAAATTTACTATTTGTTACTGTACTCTTGTTAATTAATTTCATATTTTCTGTTAACTTTATAATGCCTTTATACGTAGTGATGTAATTTTTTTAAGAATTAGTCTATTGTTATTAGTGAAAGCCTGTCAGTGGCTTATTATGACATACATATTGATTTTATTTAAGATGTACTTGAATAGCCTTGGTTTTCCTTTAATAAATAAATAAAATAAAATAAAATAAATGCGAAGTTACTCTGTCGCGCTTTTACCCCATGACTATTGAACCGATATAAATGATTTTTGGTACACAAATAGTCTAGAAAGGAAAGGCCCTACGAAATGACATGCGAATAAAGGGTTGTAAAGGGTTGAAAGGGGAGATTAAAGGTTTGATGGAAGTGTTATCATTTTCAAAGAAGAAGTCCGAAACTTCTTTTATATGCTATTGATTAAATATAAATATACTTGTATGACATTCAAAATTGCATGAAAATTCATTAATTAGAGTTCAATTCAAACAGTATTAGAGTAGAAAAAAATATTTTGATGTTTAAAGCTAATGCGCCAAAAATCATGTGTATTTTTACAACAGGTGATGTCGTAATATTTCGTGATGTTTGTCGAAAACTTTCCCCTCTCTTTCGAGTTTCACATGAGTAATAAGCTCAAATGTACAAAATGTAATATATGACAAATCTTTTTGTTTCCAGTACATATTAATAGTGTCGGATATTGTTATTGCAACTTGGATGCTGAAGAATTTCATACTCCTCAGCGTACTTTGTTATGAACATGAAAAGTTTTACAGAAACGTTAATGATGCTCAACTAATTTGTTTGCTACTGTTGAAGAAACAGATCTGTTCAGGTAAGAATACTATTAAAAATGTTATTATCATAGTTGAAGGCCCGGGCAGTCTAGTGGTCTTATACACTCACTCTTGAAGGTCGCGAGTTTGTTTCTAGGCACGATACAAACATTTATTCTACAAAAAAAGTTATACGTTCTATGACTCTATTGTTCTATATCTCATCACGTTATTGCTTTAAACAATCAAATATTCTCACCGTTACTTCACAATACATTTATGAAAATATCATGTATACACGAATGAATTTAGAGAGTTTTAAAAAATTGAAAGATTGTACAAGTTAAAACTTACGCTATATAAGCTAATTTTACTTTAACACGTACCACCGTTCAGGTGATGTTTTAGAATAGAATAGAATAATATTTAGTCAATCCCATATCGCAACACAATAATGATGATTTTCACAACAGCATATAATTTATTATAACATATAAATATAAATAACACAATAAAAATCATTACATAAACAAAAGAACAAGAAAATCGAACAATAGAAATTAAAAAATAAACATATGTAAAGAAAAAAAAAATACAGATTCAAAAACAATAATAATAAAGTAAAAAGAAATGTATATCCACTAGTGAGTAGCATTGTTACCGTGTCGCCATGTTTTCACTTACTTTCATCGAATTAATCACTAATTTTGTAATTATTTATAATTACAATTAGGGAACGTGCGTCACGAGGCGGTCGTTACTGTCGTAGGTAAGGGAAAAAGGAGGGATAGAAACTAACAAGGTCTAATATAGTAATCTGGTCTTATTTCAACGGGGCATAGGATTGATTTTAAACATTATTTATTTTGTTAACCGGGTCCTAATGCGAATAATTTTGTAGTAAATAAAGGTATAAATAAATGAATAACATTTTTATTGTTCTCACGTAGAAAATACATAATAAATTATAGTATGTCATTAAATAAGAAAAATTAAAATTAAAAGAAAATACAGTTATATACACAATCTTTACATAATATCTTATATATAAAATTCTCGTGTCACAGTTTTCGTTCCCATACTCCTCCGAAACGGCTTGACCGATTCTCATGAAATTTTGTGAGCGTATTGAGTAGGTCTGAGAATCAGCCAACATCTATTTTTCATCCCCTTAAATGTTAGGGGTAGTTCACCCCTAATATTTTTTTATTTTAAGTCAAAACAACGTTTTCCGGGACAGCTAGTATAGGTATAAAATTGTCCGCTGTCACAATTTTTATTCAGTTTTTAGCAATACATAAAGTGCTTCAAGAGTATGATTTATAAGTAGGTATAATACTCATACATGTAAATATTTTATTTTTGTTCTTAAGATCGTTGTATTCTGTTATTTTAAATGTATTTTCTATAATAATATACTAAAGTGTTACAAACAAGCAAACTATATTTCTATACGTGTGTGTGTAATGTTTATTTTGATTTAATGTATTTTTAGGTATTTGTAACTTTAATAAAATATGAGCATTCTGAGAAGTAGTGCTTCTTTATATAAACTATAAGAATGCGAAATTTCATATTTACGCAATTTACGTAAAAAGGGGTACAAAGTTTTTGATTCACGTATAGCTGTACCCGGGACTTCGTCAGCGTGGAATTTAACTTTATTTTTCTAAAATAAAAGTAGACTAAGTTAGTCTTTATTACGTTAGCTAGGTACCTGCCAAAAAATGTCCCGTCAAAATCGGTCCAGCCATTTCTGAGATTAGCCGGAACAATCGGACAAACAGATAGACAGACAAAAATTGTAAAAAAATGTTATTTTGGTGTATGTACCGTATTTATATTCGTATGCATGTAGTAAAAAACGGTTATTACAAACAGACACTCCAATTATATTTATATGTATAGATCTATAGTTATGTATATATATATATAACAGGAGGCAAATGTGAACATATATCACGAGTAGTCACGACTGATGAACAGTACCCTATAACACATACGTATGAGTCAATCCATTACAGGATTTTGTGTTTTATTGCAATCATATAACAAACTAGCTATATCAATCTAAATACATATTATTGATGTGCCTTTGCTTTTTTTTTCTTTTTGGTATGGTTATTAAGAATCATTAACGACATTTGTTATTACTTCATTGAAAGTGTGAAAGTAGGTAAATAATGAACTAAATAGATATATGGTTTGGAAACAAAAAATAGAAAAGTTCAAATTCAAATTAAAAAAAAATAGAAAAGTAGAACAACAGATCCACAAACGAAGTTATTACTTGTGCTGTATGAGCTATATAGGAAAACATTCGTGTTCCACTACACACTGAAGAAGTTCCTTGTTAGTTTGATAGGTGGCGCTAAGACATATAAATTCTATATATTTATCGCGGACATAGACAACGATATTTTAATACATATTAACAATATTTCTTTGTCTTTAGCAGATTGCATTATATAATTTGGTTTTTGGTTGGACAGATAATTACTGTGAAGTTAGACAGCCACATTGAGCTATTGTACGAGATTTTTATTTCTTCATACGAGTGTGTGTTAAGATTGGCAACCCTGGTCAGTTGAGCGTTCGTTTATGGTTATTGTATTGAAGTGACTTTATTTTAAATTTAATTTTACCCATTAACCAAAATAAACATATAGGTTATATTTTATTTTATCGTTCAAATATACCTTTGTTTTCTATACAAATCAACGAAAATGAGATTTGTAGTATCTAAATTAAATACTTTAACTAGTATTTCAGTAATAAGAACAAATATTATCAGAAAATTGTCTAGTGATGCTAAAAATAAGGAAGAAGAGGCAAAGGAATATAGAAAAAGTAGGTTATTTTTTTAAATATTCATAATGGAGTTTCTTGATGACTTGTAGATAAAATAGTATTCTGAGTGTTCCAAGGATAAATCTTCTCAAAATATGTGTTTTTGTTGTGTAGTCCTTAAAAATGAGTTTAATTATTGAGTGAGTATAACATTGTAATCAGTATACATATTGTGTACCCTCCAAATTTATAGTAGTCAGTACCCATTTTCATTATATTTTTATGCTATTCCAGCTTTTAAAATGAGTTATTGAGACTTGGTTGATAAATAATATAATCATTCCAAGCAATGTATTATTGTTGATAGGCTTCCTGGTTTTTATGCAAGGGACTCACCTGAATGTTGCAAGAAATTTATAATTCTTGTATAGTTTTATATATTATACAAAGAAGCACTAGTATGATTATTCAATTAAATAATAATTATATCCGAGCTCATTCTCACAGCACTATCTCTAGTCACAAACTATGAGGAACTTGTGCTTGAATATATATTTTTTATAATTGGTATGGTTTAAGTAATATACATAAAAAAAATGCAGACTAACAATATATATACAATAATATTTTTTTTTTTTCTATCTGTGATCAGCCTTTCTGGCTATAATCAGATTTTTTGATGTTATTGGCATTTTGAGATGAGGCACCTCCAGTAAGGTGCCATCTCATTTACTTTCTTTAGATGTTGGCAAGGCGAGCCCTTTTTAACATACATACATACATATACAATAATAATAAAAATGTTATCATAAATCTTACTAATATTGTATATGCTTAAGTTTGTGAGATTAGATGGATAGATGGATGTTTGTTACTCTCTCATGCAAAAACTTCTTACTGAATGGATTTTGATGAAACTACAGTAATATAGCTTATACTTTATAACAACACAATACATAGGCTATAAATTTCATGCCTGTGAAAATGCAGGCACTAAATATACTTTTGGTTCTAAATATTGTATTTTAATGTTGTGAAATTATACAAAATTTTTATAATAAGAAATAGGCCATTGATGCCAAAATAAACATCTCATTATTATTATAATTATTCATATTGTCACAAATTGTAAGTTAATATTTAGAGGTAAAGTACTCTCATCCTAAACACTTGTAACATCTACACTGTAAATGTTTAATGTATCTAAATTAAAAACCCACATCTATGTATTGTATTGAGTATTTTGTATTGTGCGCTAAGTATAAGAAAAAACAAACTTAGTGAAGTTCAATTATAATTATATAAGAACTGCTTGTATAACCTGCCGTTGCCAAAAATCCTAATAAATTATTTTTTATTGCAGACATTTATTTTATTTATAGTCTTTGTACTGATGGTAAACTTAGAGTTGAGTTCATCAGCTTGTCCTAAGACATAGGCCTCCTCCAAAAGACTCCATATTCCTCTGTTCAACACTTTCCTTTTCCATGTTGATCCAGCCACTGCCCTTAGGTTAACCTCCCACCTCTTATTCTGTTGCCATCATTTTCGTTTTTGTTCTCTTGAATACCAATCTTATACATCCTTGGTTCTTTTTTACTTCTATTGCATGTAGTGTCCACTTCAGTTTCTTAATTGTTCTGACTGCATCTGTAAATTTGGTTTTTCTCTTATGTTAGTGAGTTTAATCTTGTCTTTACCTGCTATTTTTGCAGACATAGTTGTAGAAAAATATGGAGCCATAACAACTGTAAATATTGATCATCAGAAACATCGCAATAGTCTTGATGTAAATACACTTCAAGAGTTGGCCATTGCTCTGGAGGCCTTCGACAAGGACACTGATTCAAAGGTCCTAGTGGTGAATGGAGAAGGTGGCACCTTCTGTTCGGGATTTGACATTGATGAGATTGGAGAGAAGGGATACAATGCACTGAAGGATGCTGCGGTAATGATTATTGGTAACTTGTTAGCTCTTGCTATTGTCAGTGAATACATAGTTTTGATGACAAACATGTTACACATATTTGATTACTCTTTCGATAGCTTCTATTTCTGTAACTTTAAAAAAAAAGTGTTCTTTCAAGATTGTCTGTGGCATCATAGCTCCTAATGGTATGGACTGGTTATGATACGTTTTTACTTACACTTTTATCAAGAAATCTATGTCATATGTGACATACATCATTGTTAGAATATCATCTTAATATTACAAACGCGAAGATTTGTGAGAACGGATGTTTGTTGCTCTTTCACGCAAAAACTACTGAACGGATTTCAATGAAACTTTCCAGCTTATGCATCAGAATAACACATTTTTTATTGAAATTTCACGTGAGTGACTACCGTGGGCACAGCTAGTAATATAAATGCTAAAGTTTGTGAGTAGGGTTGGATGTTCATTACTCACTCACGCGAGTGAAATCGCGTGCACAACTAGTTTTTTATAATGAAACTCTTCCCTTTTTTTTACTTCCTATTTTAAAATTTTAAACTCAGTTCTTTGTTACCCAGTCGCGTCTGTTACGGCGACCGCTGTGTGACAAGCCAACAATAGCGGCAGTATCGGGGTACGCCGTCGCTGAAGGGTTTGAACTGGCACTGGCTTGCGATCTGCGGATAATTGAAGACACCGCCATACTTGGATGTCTCGGCAGGAGGTTTGGTAAAATCAGATAAATAAAATAGATAGATTGAATGTACGGATCTCTCCTATAATACGGTAGATGGGTTCCGAGTTATGGGAAAACGCGTGGTAGGAGTATTTCCGTGGAACGCGTTTTACGATCCCGTATAACGCGTTATGTATAAATTATTCACATTTAGTTTTTCTGACTAAAGGGAGTTTAAATAGAAATAGAAATAATCTTTATTCAAATAAACTCATTACAAGCACTTTTGAATAGTCATATTTTGATTCTACCACTCATTCGGAATGCAGATTCATCACAAGAAGAATGAGCAAGAAACTTGTGTGTTGCTCTTTTTAATAGATGTTTTTTTTTATATAAATAATTACAGTATAACAAGTAAGAGGCATGCGATAATCAATATAGAAATCGCTACGCACTCATTATTATTGTAATCAGATAATATTGTCAGTGCTATATATTTAAAGTTTTTCTATAAAAACATTATTATCGTTAACGAATTCTTCAATTTTATAGTAAGCTTAGTAAGCGTAGTAATCTATTCAGAATAAACTATACAAAGAATGAAATGTGTACGCTTTATTAAAATCAAAAAGCACAGAGGAGTTATCCAGTATATTTGTTTAATGTCTATACTTTAACGTTATGTTACAGGGGTGCCACAAGGACTGTTCGGAGCTCGCCGACTGACTTCTCTCATCGGCCTCTCCCGTTCACTAGATCTACTTATGACGGGCCGCCTCATATCAGGAACAGAGGCTCACCAGGCAGGGCTGGCTTCAAAACTCACCGCGACAGGCACAGGTGGGTTCTCATAATAATTGATTCCTTCTATAAAGAAAAAACCAGATATAATAATATCTAAGGACATCATATTTTTCGAGCAAAGCCTCTCACGACGATTACTTGAATGATAAATGTGCATTGCAGTAGTAGTTCATAGACACATATATAAGTAAACAATGTAAGTACTGACTTTTAAAAGAAAGCTTGTAGATTTCAAATGTAAATATGAAATACTAGCTACTCGCACCCGGCTTCGCACGGATGTACAAGAGGAAGGTTTGTATATATATATATAATATAAACCATATTATATATATATAAACCTTCCTCTTGAATCATTCTTTCTATTAAGAACCGCTTCAAAATCCGCTGCGTAGTTTTAAAGATTTAAGCATATATAGGGACAGACAGCGACAGCGACTTTGTTTTATACTATGTAATGATGATGATGATGTGGTAATGATAAAATAATATGGGGTTAATATGGAAATAGGTGTAAGTAAAATTACTAAGACTTATGACAATCGATTAATATTGAATTGACTTTATAGCAAAATCCAATTCACTTGAGTTTCTTATCAGTTCTTCTCAATTGAATCTGTATATTGAACTGGACGGTAGGGAAAAAATATTAATACATACAACTTGATGTTCATAAACGGCTAAGTCCTACATGAATAAATAATTTTTGATTTGATTTGACAATTCCCACAAATATATAAATACATAGTCCTATGTAGTCGTAGTTTGTACGTTTAAATCATTAGATCTGCTGTAGTCTGGCATGATGTAATTACAGATTCATGAACTCACATTTACTGGTATGCTAATTTGAATTATCATGATCATTATCTTAATTATGGCCTATTAGTTGAGTATGTATGTTTGAACATAAGCTGTATATGTGTACCTATTAGATTATAGTTAATTCTCTGCATTAATTGCGAAGATAAAAACATGGCAGAATTTTTATTCTATTTTTAATATATGTATAAAATGTTTGTAGTCATCTCTAACTTAAGAGGCATAAAAATCACATATCAAAATATTAGTTATAAATTAGAACAAGCTATACTGCTCATCATCGAGTTGTTAAGTACCTTACAAATATTATCTATCAGAAGCTTTGTACCTCTCTTTATTTACATGAATGGATTATGCAAATTATGAATATTTACACACTTATAGTTTATATAGATATGGACTACAGAATGTTAATATTTATTTTTAATTATGCATAAAAATACATTAAATCAATAAAAAAACTTTCAAATACACTACCACGTTTTTGATATACGCATATATATGTATGTCTTTAATATTATTTGTCTATAGTCTTACTGAAAGTGAAACATAACAAAATTTAATTAAATTATATATTTTCGCCCCATAATCGACCACTAGTTCATGTAAAAGTGTGTACGTTTATATTTTAACCATCAGCGTCCATGAAGTCCACTTCATTACTAAATGGAGTTATATTATTTTAGTATCCATTTACTAGTTTGTTACTCAAGCACAATTAAATCTCTGGATGGATTTGATTGACAATTTTCACTATATTTCACACAGGTAGATAATACAGCCTACATTTTACTTCTTATCCGAATTCACTTGGATAAACTATGGATACAATAATAATCTGAATATATGTTTTCTGCGTTTGTTAAAAAATTTGTAATAATAATTTTCAGCTCTCGGCGAATCGGTGAAGTTAGCGAAGTCTTTAGTTAAATTTCCACAAAATGCATTAATAATGGACAAACTGGCGGCGGTGAATTCACAACTGAATCCGAACAGCGAGGAGAGTATGAGAGATGAGGCAGTTTTTACGAGCTTGTTAGGGAACGCAATTGAGGACATCAAACAAGGTGTTAAGAAATTCCAAGGAGGTTTGTATATTTTTTACTAGCTAAGTCCGGCACAAATTCGTCTGCATAACACTTAGTTGATATCATTATATTTCGCCCAATTTACATAATGCATTTTTTAAATTATATCGTATGTGTTGTTCTGATGTACAAGTTATGTTACTGTAAAATTTTATCAAAATCCGTCCAACAGTTTTTGCGTGAAAGAGTAACAAACATCCATCTATACTCACAAACTTTCGCGTTTATAATGAAGTAAGAGTAGTAAGACACCATTAAAGCATTTATTCATTGACTTTAGTTATTTCCATTCAAATGTAATTGGAATTATAATTTGTAAAAGAAAAATTATGAAGAATTGAGAATAGTATTTAGATACAATATTTGCTTGAATCTATACATGTAAATAAAATTGGAGTGTCTGTTTGTATATTGTGTTATGTATTTGTATTAAAATAATCATTTTTTACTACATACTATCTCACCATCCAATATTACAACAAATAATGTGATGTAATATGTTATATGTTGTTAAACTATTTATACTACATAAATAATAAGTATTGTACATATAATACTGCATATTCTGTCAAGCAGAAGTGTGGTTGTAGTCCACTTATGCATAAACGAAATATCTCCTTTTGGAAAGTATACATTATACCCTGTGGAGATAAAAACCATCGCCCCTAAGAATATTCTTCAATTCCCTGACGGACCTAGGTAGCAGATAAAAAAAAAGAGCGATTACAATAGATCTATGTAGGTCGCAGTACTACAAATCATAATAGCCCAAAACCCTCAATAAAAAAAAAATATTGATACGGTCAAACGCTCCGTGAGAACTGACAATGCTTACAGACTTAGTTGGACAAGCAGCTGGTTAATAAAGCTTCGCAAATAAGAGATCTTTTTTAACACGTGAAAATATTTCTGATATAATCGTGGCGATTACCACGATTATATCAGAAAAAAATTCTCATGGGCCATGGTAACTTTATTAGCTAATTTAGTTCAAAATGTATCAAGGAAACTTGAAGTATGATAGAATTTTTTTTGCCAAAATTCCGGAAAACACTATTTTTATATGTCACACATATATGACTAAAATGACCGTATATTAAAACTTTTTCTCGACAAGCCGTGTCAGTGTTATATGTCTGACGCATCCAAACAAGATACAACAAGTATTAACCAGTTGTTTTAAACACAGCGCCTTCTACCAAATCGCGTACATCAGACATATATGTCTGACATGGCTCATGTTGAACTTCTTAGCGTCAGACACATATAACTGACACGGCGATTAACGTGTTAATGTAAATTGTTCAATTAATATTGGTTTTTAAGAAACTATTTACAATTAGGTGGCTCATGCATGGTCTCATATAAACTTATCTTTCTTCTTCGTTTATTATTTTACCATTTATATTTACAGGTATAGGAAAGCATGGCAAATTCTATAAATTAACAGAAGTCCCACTTAAAGACTGGGAGATGGAGGAGACATTAGAGGAAGTCAAAGTCACTATAGAAGAAAAAAAGAAGAATGAGAAGTCATAAATTGTATACTTTATGGTGTTAGAGCTAAGTTGTCTAATTGTTGTAATTATTAATTAATTAATACAAATTACTAGTCTGCATATCATTTGCTATTTAATTTATTAATTGAACTGTGTGTGTTCCTTGCTAAATATGTTACTTATGCAAGTGAAAAAATATTAGAAACGCTGGAAACACTTGTGACGTTAAAACATACAGAATAGATTTTGTACAATTCTGTTAAACTAAAAATTAAGTAATTCATACACAAAAAAAGGAACAAAAGAGCTGAATTGTTGAAGTAACCGTTTATGTTTAGCAATGAGTGTGTTATATTATTACAATATTTATATGGACAATAAGTATTATTGATTACATTTAAACTTAAAACAATTTAAACTGGGCAGCAAATTTGAATTTTTAGATCTGAATATCAAATCTGTTAATGGTTTGAATGGTTCGAATTTGAAATGGGTTATAATTTATATCCTATAACTGTAAATATAATCTGTGACATATAGAACAAAATATCTGAACCTTTGGAGGAAATTTGCACTCTGTGATTTCATATTAGGTTCAAAACCATGTTTAACTCATGATGCTCTCTCACTATACATTGTTGCTAAAATGTTACTTAAAAAATATTAGTGTATAAATAAAAAGCAAGTATAAAAAATAAGTTTTAATTAGTAATTATTATCTAATTTTCAGTCTTTTCTTCGCCTGATTCACTGTCCGCTGCAGTCTGAACTCTCATGAGATGACACCCACACCCTCTTAGAGGGGTGAGGGTTGGGACTTTCACCTATATACGCGAATGTCACCAGGAACATCCCGTTTCTCTTAGATGATAATGGAATGGTGCATCACTAACGGTTTACGCTGGCGGGGCACCACCACCATTGGGCTACAGTGGAGGATAACAAGGTGAGCACGAGGTCAGGTCAGTTCGCCCGTCGTGGAAAATTCAAATTCAATTGTAAGGGCTTAAAAAGGGATATGGTACAGATTTGTAGTTCAACTTTAATATTATTCTTGAACAGATCCATAATCTCACACGAATGGAACGTTTTTAAGTTAGCTTCCAGAACCTCTTAAAATTCTTACCCTTAGAGCATAACTCTGCACCTAAAATATCCAACTTTATTTGTTCTGTATTATTTTGACAAAGTTTTACTTTTAATTTTTGTGTAAAACTTTTACTCTTGTCTCTTCTAGTTACAAACAGATACACATCGGGCCTGTCCAATGCTGTCATGGAACTTCGAATTAATAAAAGGCCGCCTCGCCTTTATGAGCGTGCCTGACATATCTATTCAATCAGGCACATTCATTTATTTATTCATGTTGCTTTACACAATTATGGTATACAATTAAATAATTCATACACATAACATGCACCTTTTAGGCACTGCAACGTGGAAGAGAGGCGGACGTTTTAAATATTATACTAATCAATATCTTGCAAGTACTCTTCAATTTTGTAATAAGCTTTATTTGTCAATATTTGTTTTAATTGGATAATATATTTATTATATTTATTCTCATTTGTTATAATATTAGGTAATTTATAATAATTTATTGCCACGGAATAGTGAAAAGCTATTCATTTACAAATCACAACAGACACTTAAGTTTTTTTTATAGATACATGTCATGTAACCATTTACTGAGATATCTATTACATAATATAAATTAAGATTCGTATTGTTTTTGTACATATTTTAATTTATTCATATCATAATATACCTGCCACTCACATCTGCTATTCTATTCAATTATTTGCTCCATGACATGTGCTTGTCTTTCCTATGCTAGGAGTCTTGCTCTGCCTATTTTTTTTATTTATTTCAGGTTGTGGTCAGGTTTTAATAAAAATGGAACGATTTTTTTTTAATTGAAATTTATTGCAAGTTGGCTGTACTCGTGACTTCGACTGGGTGGAATTTAATTTAATTTTTCTAAAATAAAGGTAGCCTAAGTTACTCCTTATTACATCAGCTACCTGCCAATAAAAGTCCTGTCAAAATTGGTCCAACCATTTCAGAGATTAGGACAAACAGATAGACAGACAAAAATTGTAAATAATGTTAATTTGTATGTATAGATTATAAACTTCAGCGAGAGAAAAATTAACACATTACGTATAGCAGGTCATTAATATCAACTGAGTTACTTTCAAAACTTTATTTTGATGTACCAGCTAAACTTACCAGATTTACTGTTCCTATCTCTATACCCTCTGTCTCAACAAACTACAGGCAAAACAGTTATATTTCAATGAACTATATCGTTCTATGTCAATGAACGCCTTACAAAATTCAACAAAAGACTTCACTATAAAGCGCGGGAACTGGCAGGAGCGGCAGGGTGGAGGTACGTTTGGGCGAAGGGCGGGCGTATTTTCGTTCGACGTGACTCGGGTGGTCAAATTTTTCGTGTCAGGACGGCGGCGGATCTCGACCGCGTTCTTGGAGATCATACTCCCAGCACAGAGACATTTACAGCGGAGTAACAACAATGTTGAATTAAGAGGCAATCGTCATTTCATGTTTTTTGTATTATATACTAAATTAGTTTTAATGGGAAGTAGAAGTTCAGTAATATTTTTTTTCAATATATACATTAATGACAGAGTATGGCATACGCAGATACCGACCGATATAAATATATGTATATTTACACAGATATTCAGAGAAACATATATGTACACGAGAGTTATACCTGGATCTATAATATATAAACTTCTGATCACATTAGTAAATGTTATCTATTGTTTAGTGTTCGTTGAAATCTATACATATACATTGGATATGTGTCGGATAGGTATAAATATAATCACTAACTGGATAAGTCTTAATACGAAGATGCTGCTGAAAAATTGTACAATAATTTGGAATTTTGAATATGTAGCACACTACCAGCACAATTCATTTTTGTTTAATTTTCTTATAAATTTATATTGTGTGTCCTGCCATTATTGTCAAGGCTCTATATTATTTATTGATGTAAATTTTGTGTATGTCGTTAGTAGAAAATTAGTACCAAATTCGTTTCTTTATAATAGACTTTTCGTTTGGAGTAACAGTACAGTATTAATTTTATTTAAAAATATATATTTATATGTAATATGTACAAAAAGCAATATTTTTAACCTACATCTATATAATATAATAGTTCGGAGTGATGCATCGGTGTGGTGTTACTTATTATGTATAAATACTGATGGGTAAGAAGCATTATTTTACAGTGGGTTTATTTAATGCTGGCTCTCTGGGTACACGACATGATGAGTTCATTAATGCTTTTAGTGAGCAGAAGCTGGATTTGTTGGCTATTAACGAAACCTGGCTCAAAGAGGGAGAGGACATTAGAGCACCTGTCCTACCAGGGTACCGAATACGACATACGCCTAGATCATTGTCGGTGCGCAGCGGGCGCGGAGGGGGTGTAGGATTCTATATAAGACGCGGTGTCAGTGTACAGCCTTGTCCTCATCCAAGTGAAGCACCAGTGGAACAAATGTGGCTGCGGTTAAAAATAGGCACTTGTAAAGTCATAATTGGCACTGCATATAGACCACCCTGGCAAGATGTTAATATTTTTCTGGACTCTCTGACTGATTCTATAACCTTTTTTTTTAATTTGATCACATAATACTGTTAGGAGATTTTAATATCAATCTGAATTTATCCAATGAATCAAAGGCTATTAAATTAGGATACTTTTTCCATCATACTTCTCTTGAACAGCTAGTGTCAGAACCTACGCATTTTACAAGCACAGTGAAACTCTTATAGACCTTATTTGTTCAGATGTGGCTGCAAGAAAATTTCAGTATCCCAATACCGGAGTTGGGTAGTCACGCAGTAATTACAGCGGAGTTTCTCTTTAAAGTCTCTAGACCTAAGCCACAGAGAGTAAGTTATCGTCCTTTTACTGACATTCAACCAGAACTGTTTAACTCTGATTTAGAGGCAATCAATTGGAAGTGTATATCAGAGATGGACAATGTTAACAGTATGGTGGAATGCTTCAATTATTTTGTAATTGCCTTATTCGATCTGCACGCCCCTGTCAAATCTGGAGTATTTAGGGAACGGTTACCACCTTGGTATACAGATACAATTAAAGATATGTTTAGGATACGGAACAACAGTCACAAAAAATATAAAAAAACTAAATTAGAAAGGGATAAAAAAATATACAAGGAACTAAAATCTACTGTTAAACAAGTTTACATAATGAAAAAATTGCATATTTTAATAACAATATTAATTCTCAATTAAACAAACCTAAAAAGTTATGGCAAAATCTTAGATCTACAGTTCTACCAAAAATAAACAATAATCTTGATCTTCCAAAGTCATGTAGCGATCCAGACGTTCTTAATTATCACTTTTTAAATTTACCTGGAAATGATTCAGTTACTATATCCGATTTGACCTATTTTGAGTTTCATAGATTTGGCACGAGTACATTCCATTTGCAACCAGTAGGCGAACACCATAGCAACTATTTTAAAGTCATTTACCTCTGATGCCTACGGAATAGATCAAATCTCAAGGTGTATGATTAATCTCACACTGCCACATTCACTAGATGCAATTACTGCTATTGTAAACAGTTCCATTACTACAGGTATCTTCCCAGATATGTGGAAGATAGCCATGATTAAACCAATACCTAAAACAGCTAACCCCACACAAGAACAGGACTTAAGACCCATAAATATATTGCCTTTTCTATCAAAGATCTTGGAAAGGGTAGTGAGTGACCAGATGACAAAATACTTGGAATCTAATGCATATTCTACCTAAGCTTCAGTCTGGATTCCGGAAAGGGCATAGTACAGCTACAGCTTTACTGAATGTCATGGACAACATACTCTCAGCTCAGGATTCTGGACAGGGAACCTTGCTAGTGCTTCTGGACTTCTCCAGGGCGTTCGAAACTTTAAATTCTGCACTACTCTTATCAAAGTTGTCTTATTACGGTTTCCACTGTGACACTGTTCGCTGGTTTGAAAGCTATCTTCACATGAGATACCAATATGTTGAGTTGAAAAGCGAAGATGGTCAACAAATATCTTCTAGCTGCTTGCCTGTCACAAGAGGAGTACCACAAGGGTCAATTTTGGGTCCACTATTGTTCATTTTGTACAGTACTGATTTGACAAAATGTATTCGCCATTGCAATTTAGTAGTATAACTAGCAAAATTTAACATTTTTAGGATTAGGTTTGGATAATATTAAACAGATAATAATACCAATAAATATTATATGAACTTTACAACAAAAACATTACTACAATAAGCAGTAATATCATATATTACATCTTGGATATATCTTTTCTTTCCCGGAAGAGTAGCGGTAATCCGTTGCTGATGGTTTGCACGATGTCCGACGTTGGGTCAACGGTGGGGTGTCGCTTGGTGTCGGCGGCGGGCTCCACCGAGAACTGCGACAGCACCGCCGCCAGACCCGCCAGAGACTGCATCAGGCCCAACCGCTCACCTATAACATGACACTGGATACACAACAACATACATTGTCTGCGAACGAACATTCATATTTTCTCAAAAGACAATCTGCTCTCAATAATACACAATCTCATTGTCAGCACAAATCACATAGCGCCATCTAGTCCTAAGTTAAGCTAGCTAAAGCCTGTTTTATTGGTACTAGGTAATTGGTACAAATACATAATTTTTTTTTGTAAATACATATACAAACAACCACATTCATGAATACAAATTGTTTGTGCCGTGCGAAGAATCGAACCCGCGACCATCGGAAGTAAAGCGGTGTGCTTAACTGCTAGACCACCGAGGTCGTCTAATATATGATAATAATAAATGTACAGTTTTTTTGAGAAATCATTAATAGTCAATTATGACTATAGAGGAAAGATTTGATTGTTTATTTATTTCATTGCATTAAATAACCTCTAAAACTACTGGATCGATTTGAAAACATCTTTCACCATTCGAATTGAACATTATATACCTATGTATGTGATGATCATAAGACAGTATATTCATATAATCTATACATATAAATAAAATTGGAGTGTGTGTTTGTAATATTGAAATAACCGTTTCTTCCTACATGCATATGAATATATATACGGTACATACAACAAAATAACATTTTTTATCATGTGTCTGTCTGTCTGTCGGTCTGTTTTTTGAGTAGTCATGCTCACTAAAATGTCCAGACTTGTGGCGGCGTGGTGGGCCGGGTCATTGGGCTCCCTAAAATATGGTCGAGCGCAGTGATGGCTGGCTCATCCGTCATACTCGTGAACGGGTGCTGCTTGTATATATATGACTGATTTCCTCTTATTAATTGTTTAACCAGTTGGTTATGTATTCAATATTTTTTCTTTTTGAGTATTTAATTGAATTAGTGCTAATTGGTGGTTTGTATTCACACACTTAAACTTAAAAATGTAAAGTAATAATAAAATTATTTAAAAGAGCAACACGCAAGTTTCTTGCTCGTTCTTCTTGTGATGAGACAGCTTTCCGAACGAAAAAAATTAAAAAAAAATGTAATGACTATTCAAAAGTGCTTCAGTGTAAGTTTATTTGAATAAATGATTTTCTATTCTATTCTATTCTATTGTTTGTTCCGGCTAATCTCTGAAATGGCTGGATCGATTTTGATGTGACTTTTTTTGGCAGGTAGCTGATATAATAAGGAGTAACTTAAGCTACTTTTATTTTAGAACAATTCTTTAATTTTTAGAAAATACATATAAATAAAATTGGAGTGTCTGTTTGTAATATTGAAATAACCGTTTTTCCGACATGCATATGAATATATATGCGGTACATACAACAAAATAACATTTTTAATCATGTGTCTGTCTGTCTGTTGGTCTATTTATTCCGACTAATCTCTGAAATGTCTAGACCGATTTTAACGGGACTTTTTTTGGCAGGTAGTTGATGTAATAAGGAGCAACTTAAGCTACTTTCATTTTAGAACAATTATTTAATTTTAGAATAATAAAGTGAAATTCCACGCGGACGAAGTCCCGGGAACAGCTACTTATAAATAAAATTGGAGAGTATGTAATATTGAAATAACCGTTTTTTACTACATGCATATGAATATAAATACACCAAAATAACATTATTTACAACTTTTGTCTGTCTGTCTATTTGTTCTAATCTCTGAAATGGCTGGACCAATTTTGTCAGGACTTTTTTTGGTAGGTAGGCTGATATAATAAGGAGTAACTTAGGCTACTTTTCTTTTAGAAGATTAATTTTTTTTAGAAAAATAAAGCTAAATTCGCTAATAAAGCTGAAGTCGCGATTACAGCTAGTATAGAATATAATATTAAAAATATTAGAGATTCGTATGTATTATTATTCTGTTGTACATATGTGAAAGTGCATATACTATATGGACTCGATTCTACTACTCGACTTCGATAATATACTCAAAGTATGAAAAAACAAACCTTATTCGCGTACGAACAAAGTGATATAATATAATTTTATATACCTACGCTTTTGTCAAACGTACGTAATTACGTAGACGTCTTAAACATTAACACGCGCTTGCACTAATGTTGCCATATCTAACTATAATCTGATAATTTAGATAAGTATTTTTTTGTTACTATAGAACTAATAACTTCTTAATACTATAACATTTAGAAAAATAATTTTTCGCCACATTTGTGGATTCCGAGGAATTATATATGTTACTAGCTGTTCCCGCGACTTCGTTCGCGTGGATTTTTACTTTATTAAAATAAAAGTAGCCTAAGTTACTCCTTATTATATCTGCTACCTTTTAAAAAAAGTCCCGTCAAAATCGGTCCAGCGATTTCAGAGATTAACTAATTAACTTAACAGAAATTAAACAGCCGGAACTAACAGACAGACAAAAATTGTAAAAAAATGTTATTTTGGTGTATGTACCGTATTTATATTCATAGGCATGTAGTAAAAAATGGTTATTTCAATATTACAAACAGACACTCCAATTTTATTTATATGTATGATACTGAGCCCATTCAAAAATGTAAAACAAAATATAAAATAACACTCTCACCTATACATGCTCGTGGTCCGTCACCGAATGGTAAATACACGAACTTATTAATATTTTTGAAATTATCGGGATGGAACCGTTCCGGGCGGAACTCGTCAGGATTCTCGAAGTACTGAGGATCGTTGTGGAGCGCTTGCACAGGAATCACGACCAAGACGTCCTCGTCTATAGAAAGGTCCAATTCGGGGAACGTATATTTACGCGCACACTGTCTGATTAGAAACCCCAACGACGGAAACATTCGCATTCCTTCTTTGAAGGCCCATTCTAAGTAATGCATTTCCTTGATAGCGTCGTAGCTCAGTTTGTTATCGTGTTTTGCTAAAACGTAGTCAATTTCCTCTTGAACTTTCTTCTGAACTTCAGGATTGTAAGCGAGTTGATGTAGCGTGTAGCTCGTTGCGGAGGACGAGGTCTCAAAGCCGGCAGCAAAAAACACAAATACTTGAGCAGCTATCAGTATGTCATCCAATTCCAGGGATGTGAGTTCTGGAGTACCGTCCGCCCTTACATTCTCTATTGATTCGCCTGTCATAGTTCCTTTTCTTTGGCATTCCAACATCAAATCAATAAAATCATTTCTGTTTGACGGATTTGCGTTTCTGTGTTTTAAAATTTCTCTCACAAACTGAATGAATTCGTCTTCTAGTCGTGACAAATATTTCAAGTGTTTGAAAGTATCTGGAAACATTTCTTTCAGCATAGCAACTAGAATATCTCGAAGACTAATTTTGAAAATCTTGGCTCCTAATTTTCTGAACGCCGAGTCCTCTTCATTGAGTGAGTCCGCGTCGAGTCCAAACCCGCAGGCGCCGATGAAGTCGGTGGTGTACCGCGCCATGAGGTCCCTTGCGTCGAGCGACCTCCCCGAGGCCGCCGCCGTGGTGAGGCGCGCCCGCAGCTTCTCGGCGCGCTCCACCACCAACGGGAACATCGCCTTCAGCTTGCCGCTCGTGAACGCCGGCGTCATGCGCTGCCGCAACAGCCGCCACAGATCACCGTCCGCGAAGAACAAATTGCGCATCAGAGGTTCCACGACGCTTTTGTGATTGATTCCGCGCGGATAAAAGTATCCAAAATCGGTGATAAGTATGCGCTTTATAATATCTGGATCCCTGATTACTAACTCCGGCATGGTCGCTCTAAAAAAGCCCACTACCTTCTCATTGGGATACTTGCAATAAAGATCCGCTGCTATTTGAGTAGTACTTTTCTTCATAAGATAAAAATTGATATTATTACCAACAAAGGGTAAAGGTTTGTCATGCTTGACTCCTTTTTTTTCCCAATATTTATAGTTTCTGGCACTGTAAAGGTACAGGATGAAGACAGCTACCAAAACGATCACTAACGTAAACATATTTTGTGCGACACGTTCAATACTCGAACATACAGACGAGCGGTGGCAACGCGCAGCGACCGCAACTGAGAGACAAAGGCTATCAACAAGATAATTGGGTACGAGTACCAAATCTACGTAAAAGGCAGTCAAGAACGAGAAGTCAACGCAAGTTATTACAGTCTTGATATAGTAAACCTGTTTATTTAAAAAAAATGCGTATAAAGTTCTCAATTATAATGTATAATCGATTATACGAATACATGTAAATATTGTTTTTATAACCTACGCAGCAAATAAATAACTTAGTAAGCTGCTCACTTTCAAGAAAAACAGAATCTAAATTAGATATCTGTGTAAGATAAAAATAAAAAAGGAATAAACGTAAAATGAAACTTCATACTTCCTAAAGCAGTTGGCCCGTGTAGTAACTGTGGGACAATGAGTATCTCACTTTCATAGGCATAAAGAGACATAATCAGTTGCTAGTTGAACATCGAGTTGGTACATTGTCGGGTGATTTCGGTAACCTATCTCATAAACTAACTATTAGATGTGTATTTATTGTACCGTATACAGAGCTAGGAAAATATATAAAAATAATTCCAATTTTTAAGCACTTATTTAGATAATTATATCATCATATAATACTTATTACTTATACTACTATATCTTTGGGTATTCGGTACGAGTATATTATAAATTTTTACTGGACCCTAACTAAAGATTAAACACGCAAATATTACCTATAATAGATAAGTGGTAAGTAATTATGTAATGTATATTATGTCTAGCACCAGTAACGAATCTTATGTACGAGTAGATATTGCGAACTAACTTGGATGAAATGCTGGGAGCTATTATAATACTAATATTCCTCCGGGTCTCATTTAACCCTATATCTGAAAAGAATAGTAGCTATTATTAAATGAAGTAAAAAATTCGGGTGGCGATATAAATACAACATCTTTTTATTGTTTGTATGAGCAGCTATCATGAGATAGTTGTTTAATATATGTATATCATACAAGGGCATCATTTTAACTTCTTGTGATGATTCTTAAATTCCCTTTAGGTAATTTCATTTAAAATAGCCGCGTCAAATTATTAGAATAATAACCGTGGCCCCGTGCTAAGCAGAGCTTGTGTTATGGGTAGGTACTAAACAACTGATATATATACATTTTTTCATAAATACACAATATTCCTAGTAATTACTCAGACCGATACAAAAAGTTATACTCATTAATACAAATACCAGCATTGTGCGAGGAATCGAACCTGCAACTATTGGTAGTAAAGCGGTGCTAAACCGCTAGTTGACCGAGGCTGTCCAATGTATATTTAGTGTTATTTTCAAAATCTCTGGTGGGTGACACATTGTTTTGTCTACGCCATGAGTATATAGCCGTGGATTTATCTTGTTGTACAGAATAATTGGTAGGACTATAGAAAATAAAAAAATCCATTATTATTGTCATTTATTGAGTAGATTTCTAATTTATGTTTGAGAAACGATATACGTATAATTTATATTTGTGATTATTTTTTTCTTTCCCGGAAGTGTAGCGGTAATCCGTTGCTAATACTTTGTACGATGTCCGACGTTGGGTCAACGGTGGGGTGTCGCTTGGTGTTGGCGGCGGGTTCCACCGAGAACTGCGACAGCACCGCCGCCAGACCCGCCAGAGACTGCATCAGGCCCAATCGCTCACCTGCACAACATTCAAGTAAGAATATGCAAACATAGAGCGAAATATACTACTTATCTATTAAAATGACTAAGGGTAACAGAAAGAAGAAGAACGTAATCAGTATAGTTACTAACTCTTGTCCGTAAAACATTGTCATTATATTGTCATCGCTTACAAAAAATATGCATAAGAAATGAAAGAAACTTAAATTAGGTTTTAGGTATAGGCTTACCTATCGAAATATGACGAGTTTTAATCAGAATAATCAGTTTTTTAACATTACTTTAATAATCAGACTTTTTTACGTTACTGAAGGAATCCTTACCTATGCATGCTCGAGGTCCGTCGCCGAATGGTAAGTAAACAAATTTGTTAATATTTTTAAAGTTATCGGGATGGAACCGTTCCGGGCGGAACTCGTCAGGATTCTCGAAGTACTGAGGATCGTTGTGGAGCGCTTGCACAGGAATCATAACAATGATATCCTCGTCTATAGATAAATTTATTTCCGGAAAAGTATATTTGCGTGCACTCTTCCTCACTAGGAAACCTAATGATGGAAACATTCGCATCCCTTCTTTGAAAGTCCATTCCAAGTAGTGCATCTCTCTGATAGCGTCGTAGCTTAATTTATTATTGTGTTTTGCTAAAACGCAATCAATTTCCTCTTGAACTTTCTTCTGTATTTCAGGATTATAAGCGAGTTGGTGCAGTGTGTAGCTCGTCGCAGAGGACGAGGTCTCGAAGCCAGCAGCAAAAAATACAAATACTTGAGCAGCTATCAGTATGTCATCCAATTCCAGGGATGTGAGTTCTGGAGTACCGTCCGCCCTTACATTCTCTATTGATTCACCTGTCATAGTTCCTTTTCTTTGGCATTCCAACATCAAATCAATAAAATCATTTCTGTTTGACGGGTTTGCGTTTCTGTGTTTTAAAATTTCTCTCACAAACTGAATGAATTCGTCTTCTAGTCGTGACAAATATTTCAAGTGTTTAAAAGTATCCGGAAATAAATCTTTCAATACTGCAACAAATATGTCTCGTAAAGTAACCTGGAAAATCTTGGCTCCTAATTTTCTGAACGCCGAGTCCTCTTCATTGAGTGAGTCCGCGTCGAGTCCAAACCCGCAGGCGCCGATGAAGTCGGTGGTGTACCGCGCCATGAGATCCCTTGCGTCTAGCGACTTTCCCGAGGCCGCCGCCGTGGTGAGGCGCGCCCGCAGCTTCTCGGCGCGCTCCACCACCAACGGGAACATAGCCTTCAGCTTGCCGCTCGTGAACGCCGGCGTCATGCGCTGCCGCAACAGCCGCCACATGTCGCCGTCCGCGAAGAACAAATTGCGTAACAGAGGCTCCACGACGGTCTTGTGGTTGATTCCGCGTGGATAAAAGTATCCAAAATCGGTGATTAGAATGCGCTTTATGATGTCTGGATCCCTGATTACTAATTCCGGCATGGACGCTCTATAAAAGCCCACTACCTTCTCGTTGGGGTATTTGTAATAAGCGTCGGCTGCTATTTGAGTAGGACTTTTCTGCATTAGATAAAAATTGATATTATTACCAAAGAAGGGTAAAGGCTTGTCATGTTTAATTCCTCTCTTTTCCCAGTACTTGTAGTGCCTGCCACTGTAAAGGTAGAGGAGGAGAAAGGCGCAGAAAACGATCACTAACGTAAACATGGTGCCCAAACAACGCCCGGACACGCTACACACAGAACTACTTAGTATATAAACAATACGTATAAAGTGTTTGTGACAAATAGCGATACAGCGACTATCTAGTAGATAATTCATTACAATATAATACGTAACTATCAATCAATAACGAGGGATCAGTATACAGAAATTCAGTATTTAGGAATAGCATATAAACTTAAATAATCTATAAATTATGAATATGATATAGTAATTGTAGATCTATTATCTCATCTTGTCTGTTAATATTTTGTAACTGATTACTGATGTCCGTTTACATCTGTATCACCAAACCTTTAGTTATTGTTTTTCCTTGAAATTAAGATTAGTGTTACTACTACAACTTAAGGGATTTGTATAATATAATTGTATAATATTGCGTATATTATATATTCTGTATTATATATACCAAACTTGTATAATATCTATCTTAAGGATTATTTAAAAGAGCAACACACAAGTTTCTTACTCGTTCTTCTTGTGATGAGACATCTTTCGGATCGAGCGGTACATAAAAAAATTGTTATAACAAAAGTGCTATATTAAGTTTATTTGAATAAACGATTTTCTATTCTATTCTATTCAGAATACAGATTCAGTCAAGAAGAACGAACAAGAAACTTGCTTGAATGCTATTGTTAAATTGGTGTGGTAGTTGAATTGCATGTGGAATATAATAATAGGTATAACGAATTCAAACTTATACTTTTAAAAGTAATTCATATTTAAAATTAAATGGGTAGGTACTCAGATTGAAAAAATAATTCGATATATTTTTCTTTTATCGCTTTGATGTAATGTGTACTTTCAGATACTTCAAAGAATTTGTCTCTCGTTATTACATTATTACAGGTAAATGAAAAATAATCTACAATAGATAGGTACGGCTGACATTGTCATGTACCTATGCCAAATACTTATTGGGGGAAGTGAAATGTTAATAATGTGGATTGACGGCTTTATTGCTAGCAATGTACTATGTCCGGTTGGCCTCTGCTCGGTTCCCCCAGGAAACCATCATGATATATTCCTGGTTTCATCTTACTACTCTCCACTGACGCCGCACGCAGCGTACACCGTCACCGCAGGCGGGTACTCCATTCCATTATTCCATCATTCATTAAAAAATATAGCTATTAATTCTAAAAATAAAAAGCACTATGACAGAGAGAGAGAGATGTTTCATCTTATATTAAACAATTTTTATGTAAAAAAGCCTATTACAGGATGTCTGTTTGTAATATTGAAATAACCGTTTTTTACTACATGCATATGAATATAAATACGGTACATACACCAAAGTAACATTTTTTATAATTTTTGTCTGTCTGTCTGTAGCAGATATATTCAATATTTTTTCTATTAATAAGGAGTTTCTTGCTCGTTCTTCTTGTGATGAGACAGCTTTCCAAACGAGCGGTAGATTAAAAAATGTTGACTATTCAAAAGTGCTTAAATTAAGTTTATTTGAATAAATGATTTTCTATTCTATTCTATTCTATTCTATTAAAAAACATAGCTATTTATTCTAAAAAGAAAAAAACACTATGACAGAGAGAGACAGGTTTCATCTATATATATTTATATATATATAAATAAAATTGAATAATAAAGTTAAATTCCACTCGGAAGAAGTCGCGGGAACAGCTAGTAACAAATTAAAATAATGCTGCCAACTCAATGAGAATCAAACATTGTTGCGGGACCCTAATATAATGTCATAGGGACCTGTGTGAATAGTCATAACACCTAATAAACATATCGCGACAGATAAGTAAAAAATATTTACTGATAATGGAACGATGTCTTATCTATACAACTATAAATAGGTATGTATGTAATACTTACTAATTACAGAAATTAATATTTGCAAACAACTATAAAGATATAAAGTTTGTAAGATTCCTCTCTTATATGTCTATTTTTTAGAGAAACTTTGGTGTTCTTATAATGCTGGAGACATTATACAAGTTAAACCGAGAGACTATCGTTTACTCTCATATTGATTTGTGCCTACATTCCAGCAATTAACAATTCTGACTTTTCCATGTCTGTATATTTTGGAACCTGTAGGTAGATACATACAACATATAACATTTGTAAGAACCAATATGACTTCGTACACGAAAATTACAAGAAAAAGGGTAAACTACAAAATGTAACGATCGAAATCTAAATAAAACCATTTTCATCATCATCATCTCAGACCGGAAGACGTCCACTGCTGAACAAAGGCGTCCCCCAAAGATCTCTACGACGATCGGTCCAGCGATCTTGACCAGATCGTCGGTTCTACTTGCTGGAGGCCTTCCCACGCTGCATCTTCCGGTCCGTGGTCGCCACTCGAGGACTTTACTGCCCCAACGGCCATCTGTTCTACGAGCTATGTGCGCTGCCCATTGCCACTTCAGTTTTGCAATTCAATAAAACTATTTTAATAAATTACTATAAAATTATGTAATACTAGCGACCCGTCCTGGCTACACAATGATGCATTACAAGTCGTTGACTTTCTCGGCTTGTTCTATACTATAACACGCATGTATCTATTTATCTATTTCATGCGGAAGCGATTTCATTTTATATTATGTTAAGAAGTTACCAAGATATAATATATAAAATTGAGTAACATTAATTTGTTCAAATATAAAGGTAGGTAAACTAACAATACATTTATGAAAATATTATGTATACACGAAAGAACTTAGAGAGTTTTAAAAAACTCAAAGACTGTACAAGTAGAAACTTACGCAATATAAATAAGCTTATTTTACCTAATATATTGTATTATATCGTCTGCACAAAATCAGTTGATGATAGCAATTGCATAAGATTTTATAATAAACTGCCAGAATCTGCATTAAATCTGACAGAGAGGTAATTCAAATCTTATATTAAACAATTTTTATGTAAGAAAGCCTATTACAGGATAGACGAATTCATAGATGACAACATATCAAGTAAATAATTAGTTTATTAGCATACAACGTTATAATTTTATTTTCTCATTGCTTTCTTGATTTAATTGATTGATTTTAGAAATATGAAAACGAGGCGGTTTTCTGTGTTTTGCAAAGATATGTATATAATAGATTTTACATATTCAAGATTCATGTAAATGCGGCAATTAATACAAAAACCGCTACGTTTTGTTATATTAATTGCCGCATGCAACGCGTTCTTATAGCCTGATTTTGATACGTTTATACTCGTGATCAAAATCGGGCTATACCATTTTTATTTCAATCGTTATATGTATAATATTTTACATACTATAATATCAGATTCTAATTGATGAGTAGCTTTGACGTGGTCTTATATATAAATTTGAGTAGTCATGCTCACTACAATGTCCAGACTTGTGGCGGCGTGGTGGGCCCCCTAAGTCATTGGGCTCCCTAAAAATATGGTCGTATTATGGACAGTTTTTTATTTATTTATAATGCTTGCTCATCCGTCTAAATTGTCACTCGTGAACGGGTATTCTGCTATGTATAAATGGACTAAAGTAACTAGGGACTGGTCTGCTCTAATCTGAACTGATTTAATGATTTCCTAATGTATTAATTGTTTAATGCGAACCAGTTGGTTATGTATTCAATATTTTTTCTTTTTGAACAGTATTTAATTGAATTAGTGCTAATTGGTGGTTTGTATTTACACACTTAAACTTAAAAAAATAAATGTAATAATAAAATTATTTAAAACTTTCTGAGCAACACGCAAGTTTCTTGCTCGTTCTTCTTGTGATGAGACAGACGAGTTCCGAACGAGCGGTAGATTAAAAAAAAATGTAATGACTATTCAAAAGTGCTTCAATGTAAGTTTATTTGAATAAATGATTTTCTATTCTATTCTACTAAGATAATTTTTGCTAAAAATTATTATAAAATTGATACTTATGAAAATGACATGTAATATAATACAAATTATTGTTAAATATTTTTTGTACACCTACTCTTGGGATGAGTATAGAGAAACTGTTGAATGGACCATGTTCCACACATATGTACATAGTATACGACTTTTCACCAAAATGAAGCGATTGATTTATTGATACCTACATATATTGTATTATATCGCTCGCTCGCTTATTATACTGGAATAGCAAACAAGGTTGATGATAGCATGTATTGTAAAATACTTATATTTGTATACGATTTATATTTGGTCTTCGTAAGTATGACCACATATCTCAATTTCGCAAACAACTCAAGTGGCTTCCCATTCGTCTTCGAAAGAAATGAACTACATTAAAAGATATTCTATCCCATCCTTTATACAATCCTCTCCCTACCCTCAAAAGATCCTCAATACTTAAAAAATGTATGAACTTAAAATATAGTTCCATTCTAAAAATGTAAGGACCTACATTAAAATATAATGTTTCTGAATTACGAGATGCATGAAGAAGCCTCTGTCTTAAAAAGTTCCCACCTCATTCTTCTAAATATTACGCTGATTCTTTTACTGTTTGAAATGTATTCGTCTCTGAACTCCTTACCACTTCCCATTCGATCAGTACAATCATATGCCATTTTTGAAAAAATTATTAAAATCGATATTATCTATCCCTGTAATAGAATAATAACACGTCCTCTCGTCCATTATTATGTAGTATATGTATGTATATTGTATGTATTTTGTGTATGCAGTTTATTTATTTATGTTTATAAAATGTATGTTTATCTATAATTGTATAATAAATAGTGTTTTTCAGTAAATAACCAACGACACTAATAATGTACTACTATATTCCGTTCTTTGAAACGGAATACTGCTATAATTAATACAAAATAATGAAAATTTACTGTTTACAACGACTCATTAAAAGCATCATCGAATAATGCGCTGTAATAAAATCCTGTTATCGATTATTAAAAAAAATCGATAATACATGTATTTTTTTTAATAATTGATAACACTTCATACATAAGTATTATTGGAAATAGTATTATTTGCTTGTTCGGCTATTTTTAATTTACTTAAACTTTTTTTATATGTTTAATTTACAATAATAATTTATTAAGGGCTTATTAGTGGAAAATATAAAAAAGACATTTAATTAGGCCGATAAAATGACAACAATGCCATCTATGAAAGCATTTTGAAAACATTGAGCCCTATTAGCACTGATTAAAGTGTAATTAAGTACTGGAAAATAACAAAATGAGTAAATATATGAAAATTACTTTTCTAAACGCATTATTTCATTTTAACATGTATATATATTTTTTTAAAAATGGATTAAACTATTTTGAAAACACAGTTTTGTTTTTTAAAACGTTTGCAAAACTATGAAGAATTCCATCGATACCAATCACGCCATCTATATGCAACTTTTAGCAATAATAATGGCTATTTCCTCATTGAGTGCCACTGGTAAAAGTACGCAACTTTAGTTTAATTAGTGTTCACTAGATGGCGTTGTAACAAATTTACTGGTTATTCTTATGACTAATGCTTTTAAAGACCTTTTAAAAGATTGAATGTTCAAATATAAATTTATCATTCCTATTCAAGTAGTAATTTAATTTCATACCTGCAATATTAGGTTTATAAACTCACAATAACCAGTTGTTCAATATTTCCTTGCAGTAAGAAATTTAATAGGTTTTTTTCCCTACTACTCTAATGCTGTTGGCCGCTGCTGGCCTTTACAGCTTCACCGGACGATAGCGGCGAGTGTAGATGGCACTACAAACTTATGGAGCTGTAAACTTAATAGGACATTAATGGTAAAGACAAATCTTAATATACAAATATTTCATGTCACTTTGTTCGCGAGGGAATCCTTGAACGATTGAAGCAATTTTTATGATTTTTTTATGCATAATCGGTAGGTCTAAGAATAGGTTGTTATCTATTTTTATACTCCTAACTGATAAGGGTCCCTCACAATAATATTTTTTTTTAATGTTAGACATGTTTATTATGATGTGTCATTAATAAATACATACACCCCAAATTTTCACCCTTCTATCATCGACCTCTAATTTTTAATATCCCTAATAATATTAATACTTTCTACGTTTGCTGGAAGAAATCTCTTTTTAGAGATAAGCACGCCCTTGTACATTACATTTATTGTATCACTGTTTTCATTTCCTATGTATGTGTACAATAAATAATAAAGAAAATTAATTCATATGATAAAATACCGTTTGGGCAATTATTTGTGTATAGGACTAGCTGTACACGCGACTTCGTCCGCGTGGATTTAACAAAAAAAAGTTAATTAGGGATTTTTCCTAAAATAAAAGTAGCCTAAGTTACTCCTTATTACATCAGTTACCTGAAAAAAGTCTCGTCAAAATGGGTCCAGCCATTTCAGAGATTAGCCGGAACAAACAGACAGACACAAAAATTGTAAACAATGTTAATTTATATTCATATGCATGTAGTAAAAAACGATGTTTACAATATTACAAACAGACACTCCTATTTTATTTATATTTATATGTAGATGTATGCGTACAATAGGTAATAAAGAATATTAATTCATATGGTAAAATATCGTTCGAGCACCTATTGTATATAGGATGAGCGGGGATTGAAAACAAAACTGGAACATGTAAGATAATAAACGGAATTTATTCTGTTAAACGTAAACAATACAATTAGTAGCTGGCGTACAACCAGCGGGCGCGCGCCGCCGCCGCCAGCAGACTGCGTAAGAATGCGTAAGACTGCGACAGACTGCGGCAGACTGCGGACGGCGGCGGCCGCGGCACTTACATCTACTGTCTTTTATTGTTGCCACTACGCGTGTGTGGCGTCGAGTGGTGGTCGGCTGCGGCCGCGCGCTTTCGCCCTACTGTCGCTTACTGCAACAACATTCAACCTACGCATTACATGTAACATAAAATAAAGGTGACGTTACATAAACATATCAATAAAAGCCAAACAATATTTTCCAAAATCGTGTGACGTAATGTATATGTATGTATGGCTCCCAAATGGTCCCGAGTATGTTTTACATTATAAAACCTAATAATGGAATGCCTGACTTAAAATTATTATAATAAAAACGAGATTATAAAACAATAAAATCACGGATGCATTAATATCTATATAAGTACATATGTAATATACTTTTATTTGATGGAATAACAGCAGATTTGTGACATATACAGACATAGTGTGTACTTAAAGACAATTTCACACTGTTTACTTTGCAATCAGACATAGAAAAAAATAATACATATCCAAGAGTTCAGTAGGTTCGATACAGATATTGTCATATAAACAGGTATAAAAAAAACCCCATTCCGATCCAACTATGTATAATATTAATGAAAATAAATATGTTATTGTAATATTTTATAAACGATAATAACGTTTTTGTAAACTCAAAATTCATGTTTTCACATAGATGAGTGTGTAGCGGTTTCTATGTTGATTGTCGCTTGCCTCTTCCTTATTAATGCGTATTTAGTCGAATTTACTTTAAACATTTATTAAACAGAGCAACATGCAAGTTTCTTGCCCATTCTTCTTGATACTATTAGTGGTAGAATAAAAAAAAAGTGACTACCCAAAAGTGCTCATATTAAATTTATTCGATTAAAGCGCTAGATAGTGTTAGTGAGTACCTCATTCGGAGTATAGAAAAATGTTATTTAACTGTTCATAAACAGTTATTTAATTTATATAGATAAAAATCATTGTTTCTGACGATTTTACGCTTAAAACCGAGTAATTTTCTGATTATCGGACAGATTTTACGTTACCCCTATAGATATTAAATTAAATATAAAGTTGAGAGCTAACCACCGGCGGTGAGTAATATATGCGTGCGCGGCCGCGCCCCCCGCGCCCCCCCGCCGACCGGACGTGGCGCTGCACTCGACCTGCCGCAACCGGAGACCGGTCACAGTACGGCATGCTGTCACAATTATCACTATAGTATATTGCCTAACGTTATCTCGTACGTCTGTTATACATTTCATGATAATCTAATACTATATATAAAACGTACTACACGGCTGTCCCGCTAAATAATTTTCAGTGTATAATAATTTATAATAATAAAAGTATATAAAAGGCCGATATATACAAACACACAAATAGTATAATAAAAATGCGATTAAAGGCATCGACACACGAGCGCGCCGCGCCGCCGCGAGTCGCGGCGAGGCGCGGCGCGACCGCCAGTAATTTTGAGGTAGGTATTTTGATTACACTGGCGTAGGCAACGTTAAATTCTACTAATAGTGCAACCACAACGATCACTATATAATATTAATACTCGATTGCTTCAATACACTGCAGGTAACCGGAGTCGGTCGCGCTTTAGGCTGTAGGCTCTTATAAAAATATATCCCGCGCGGCGGCGACGACGACCGGACCTCACCCGCGGGAACCGATCGCGTACAACCGCCGCGCGGGCCATCACATCTCACACGAACATTACAACACGCCACTTATTGCAATCTCCGGCACTCTCCGAGCTGTTCACCACAATAGCATAATGAATGTCCGTCGACATCAGATAGCGGATGATGTAGACCGCGAGCTGTTAGCCGCCTGCTGCGTGTAAGTCTTGTTGCGGTACACCACAATCACGTTATGTTTGACGTAGGAGACACGTGTGGGGAGAGCGCGGGCTGGGGCCGGGGGCGGGGGCGGTCACTGCACGCACTCTCCGTCTCCGTTATGCTGGGATTCCGACAACTGAAAAGTCGACAGACTTTTTTTATAATTTATATACTGTTTTAATTCACAAAGTTGATTAATGAAGCTGTTGATCGAAAGTTAATTTGATTGAAGATTAAAACTTCAAGATTAGTTAGACCGATATGGTCTCGTCGTTGTCAGATGAGTTGTCAGCTTGTATACCATTCCAATTAATAATAGTAGTAGTTTTTATCGATTTGGATGAGGATAATGATATGTATGCTTTGATGGTGATGATGAGGTCGACGGTCGATCAAATAGTTGATGATTATCATGATCATCATTCATTGTGTTCATCTAGATTGATAATAACGAAGTTGAAAGACTTTTATCTAAATTAGATATCACCAAATCGCCAAGACCAGATGACATATCAACCCACTTTTTTTTATTGCAAAAATATATCTATCTCTATCGCTCTTTTATTCAAATGCTCACTAATTCAATGCAAAATGTCTCCAATATAGAAATCAGCATACGAAAAGGACTTCAGAACTGATATCGAGAGCTGCAGACTCATTTTTAAGTCGTACCTCATCTCGAAAATATACCGTATACTGACCGCGAGGGAGGGCGGCGCGAGGGGCGGGGGCGGCGCGCAGAGCGTGGTCCACTCGCCGTCGGGCGCGTACAGGCACTCCACGCACGACAGGAACTCCTTGCCGTCGAAGCCGCCCGCCGCGAACAGCGCGTCGGCCAGCACGGCCAGGCCCAGGCCGGCCCGCGCGCGCCGCAGCTCGGGCCCGGGCCGCCAGGCCTCGTCGGCCGCCGCCAGCCAGTCCGTGCGCCGCAGCGACGCCGCGCCGTCCGAGCCGCCCGCCGACACCAGCCGCCCGCGCCACACCGCGCCGCCCACCGAGCGCCGCGCCGTCGGCAGCGCGGGGCCCGCGCGCCACGCGCCCGCCGCCGCCCGCAGCGACTCCGTGCTCGCCAGGCAGCGCCACGCGTCGCACCCGCCCAGCGCCCACAGCGCGCCCGCCCACGCCACGCCCGCGCACTGCGACCGGCCCGCGGCCAGCGGCGGCGCCTCCTCCCACGCGCCCGCGCTCGCCGAGTACCGGTGCACCAGCCGCAGGCTGCGGCCGCCCGCCCAGCCGCCGATCACGTACAGCTCGCCGCGCTCCTCGTCCGCGGCGGCGGCGGCGTGCGACCGCGCCAGCGGCAGCCGCGCACACGCGCGCCACGCGCCCGCGCCGCGCTCGTCCTCCTCGTACGCGTCCACCGAGTCCAGCTCCGCGTGGCCGTCGCTGCCGCCCAGCGCGTACACGGCGCGGCCCAGCCGCGCGGCCGGGAAGCGCGCGCGCGCGCTGCGCATCGCCGGCAGCGGCGCCCACGTGTTGGTGGCCGGGTCGTAGGCCTCCGCGGTGCGCAGCACGCGCGCGCGGTCGTAGCCGCCGCACACCAGCAGCCGGCCGCCGAGCGCGGCCGCGCCGTGCGCGCAGCGCGGCTCCGCCAGGGGCGCGCGCCGCTCGCCGTCCGCGGGCTCGCGCGCGCCGCCCAGCGCGCCGCCGCGCGCCACCGTCTCCCCGGGCACGTCCCGCCACGCCACGCGCGCCGCCGCCGGCCCGCCGCGCAGCGCCAGCAGCGCGCGCGTGCTGGCCCCGCGGCCGCGCACGGCCAGCACGGCGCAGGCGGCCGGCCGAGCGGAGCGCGCGCCCAGCTGCAGCGCGGGCAGCGCGGGCGGCGTGCGGGGCCCGGCGGCCCCGGGCTCCCTCCTGCGCGCGCTGCGCTCGCGCTCGGCCGCCTCGCGCCGGTACTCCTGCAGCTCGGGCGCGTCGCCGCACATCTCGGGCAGCTCGCCGCAGTCGCGCAGCTCACCCCGCGCGTCCACGTATAGTAGATGCGTGCGGGAGCACAACTCGTCGAGCTGCGGACCGAGTGTGAGGTTACTTTTATTCTATACTAAATTATTAACGTTCATAGTATCTCTGGATAATATAATAATACATAAAGGGTCTTCTAGTCCCAAGCGAAGCGGTAATTGTGAATACCAGTTTAACAGAAATCGATTACTTTTTTTAATCAATTAAATAATTTCACTGATCTCAATCACAATAAACGAAATTGAAAATAATATAGGTATATATGTACACATGTGCAAAAAACAGTTAGATGAGGGTATATGTGTTGTGACAGTGATGCTTATGATATTGATAATAATGATAATTTCGATGATGGTGATGATGATAATAGAAATATGTACAAAATGTAATAAAAAACATCCAAAGTAATAAAATCATACTCTCGCACTATGCAAAAATTTCTATTCCTACAAAAGTTTGCATAGTGCGGGAAATCCAACCTGTGACCATCAGATGTAAGGCGGTGTGCTAAACTACTAGACCACTGAGGTCGTCTATTATGACTAAATTGAAACTATCGAGAAGTACTTCTCGCGCGTTAAAATTATACTCACGTCAACGTCAGCGGCGTGTCTGTCACGGAGCCACGTGAGGACTGCATCGGCGACGGCCACCGGCGTCTCCTCTCCGCCCTCGGAGCTGCTCTCGCGCAGCATCTCGATCCGAATCAGCGGCAGCGCGGCCAGGGCGCCACTCTCGCACACCTCGTCGAACTAAAAGAAGAGATCGTATCAAGACGCGAGTCGGTTCGTGCGCGGGCTCGCCGGGGAGTGCTTCGCAGGGACACGTACGTTCTGAGCGATGTAGGCGTCGAGCTGCGCGAGGTGGTGCGGCGCGAGGTCGGGCAGCGAGCGCAGTTCGAGGCAGTCTGCGGGAGTCAGCCGGCGCAGCAGCCGGTCGGCGAGCTGCGCGCGCGCCGCCTCCAGCCGCAGGCGCCAAGCGGCGCGGTACAAACGGCGCGCGGCGACCGCGTCCGGCACGCGCAGCCGGCCCGTGTACGCGTACTCGAGCAGCTCGCGCAGCGCGTCCGGCTGTACATCATCCACGCGGTAGGCGGGAACCGCGGGGGAGGGGCCGGCGGCGGCGGGCGGGGGCGGGGCCGCCAGCGCCTCCAGCAAGTAGGGCGAGGCGGCCGCCAGCACGGCGCGGTGCGCGGCCAGCTCGGCGCCGCCCGCCACCAGCAGCACGTCGTAGTGCTGCCGCGATTTGCGCAGCGCGTTGAGGGCCGCCAGCGCGCGCGCCGGCGCGTCCGTGTCGTGCAGCGACAGCTCATCCTGCAGCGCCGCGCCCTCCTCCCCCTCGCTGTCCTCTTCGCCTGCGACACACCATACGTTACCATCGTCGGCCGCATACTCTACACATACATAGATTTTATAGTTCTATCCCAAGCTTGACACTATAAGTCTAAGACTATTTCTTAACATTTCTAAGACTACACTTTTACTGATTCCAATATATACGCTCGCCTGCAGTGCGCACAGTATAGTGTAGCGATGACATCAGTAAACATTCGATTGACGCACCTGACCACACGTTATGACAACAAACAATTCTACAAACATCTCATTCTACATACCCATTTCGTGCGACAATAACTTGAACTCGCTAATTTATGCAAAATGTTACGTAATTTTCCATTACTCACTTATAATAGCTATCTAGTCATAAATTGAACGGGCCGTACAAAATGCCGCGTAGCTCACACTGTCCTGCTGTAACAGTACACTATCGTGACATTGTAATTAAATTTCAGTCATATATCAAAATCAACGAGTGGGTACGAACGTGATGGCCGCGTACGATGTGTGCCTCGTGATAATAGAAATTAAGAATAGAACGCGTTAAATAAACAATGCAATCCTGTGGGATTAGGGAGACGTCGCTCTAATGAAATGTGAAGACAAAATTAAAATAGTTTCAAATCGGATAGTGATAGGAGATTGCGCTCGATTCCAAGACAGCGCTGTTATAATTGGATACAGTATCTGGCAATGATTACCAATTGTATCTAATACAGACAAAGACGTCATGGAATCAGTACAACCTCCAGTTAAGCTTCGAGGATATTTTACTACAATTTACGATTATGATCAAGGCAGGAACTATTGGATGGAGTTTGTGGACATTTACTAGTCATACCTTTATATATTGCGGCTGACAAAATACATCCTAGTAGATTATGTCGTCAACAAGCACCATATATAGAAGTACTGAATTAAATAGCCTTTAAATATGAATAAACTAGCTTAGCTCCCAGTTTCATCTGCGTTAAATTTCAATATAAAATATAGCCTACGTCTTATTCTGATGCATAAGCTATATTACTGTAATGTTTTATCAAAATCCGTTCAGTATACATAGAAAACAACCAAACCGATACAAACAATCATGTACATGAATACAAATGTTTGCATCGAAATTGCGAGGAATTGAAACCGCGACTATCGGAAGTGAAGCGGTGCGCTAAACCGCTGGACTACCGGAGCCCAATTATCGAGTAATACGCGTTTAAATGGGATATTGAGAGATTCTGTAGAATCGCCGAAATGTCTGTCTCACGTATTTCTAGCGTCGAACGACTTTGTCGCGTGCTGTATTACAGTTTGAAGGACGAGATAATATTGCGATTGGTAGCGAAGTTACTGCGTACAGTTCGCGACAAATTACTTATATAATGTTATCCCATATAAAAAGTCTCATGTCATAATATTATACTCTTCCAAAACGGCTTGATCGATTTTATGCAATTTTATATGTAATATGCATATGCGTATAGGTGTGAGAATCTGCTACTATCTATTTTTCATAGCCCTAAGTGATAAGGGTTGTCCACCCCTAACATTTATTTTTTATATTTTGAACAAATTTAGTTTTTTATAATGTCGGATTTAAATACATAGGACTCTAAGTTTTCACCCTTTTATCGCCTTATTTTTTAACAGCAATTTTAATTTATATGGTAAAATAAACGTTTGCTGGGTTCAAATTTGCAACGTGAAAGAAAGATCCAAAATGTAGTAATCCAGTAAAGAGACTAACTAAATTCGCCTGTGTTTGGGAGAGTTTAAACACATCTTTGATCGTAGTAATGATGCGGTTTAATTGAACTCGCGAGTTCATAGAATGTCTTGTACTCTAGTCTAGAAAGACCGCTATTGTTTGGAACTTAGAACAACATTTATTTATTAGAGCAACACGCAAATTTATTGCTAGTTCTTCTTGTGATTTGTCTGTGTTCCGAATGAGTGGTAGAATAAAAAAAATAGCGATTATTCAAAAACAAATCAAATAAAAAATCATTTATTCACGTAGAACACTGTAGCCGCTTATTAGCCGCGTTTTTTTATTGCGCCGCGTTATTTTGGTGTATGTGCCGTATATACGTAGTAAAAAACGGTTATTTCAATATTACAAACAGACACTCCAATTTTATTTATATGTATAGATTCAGATCAGAGAAGAAACAGAGAATATTTATTCCAATGTTTAATTTATACTCATATATTAAACTGAAGAGTTTGTTTGTTTCAACGCGCTAATCTCAGAACTACTGGTTCGAATTGAAAAAACATTATTGTGTTGGATAGTCCATTTGTCGAAGAAGACTTTAAGGTATATAACATTACGCTGCGACCAATAGGAGCGGAGCTGCAATGAACAATATTGCGAAAGGTGGGGGAATGAAACGCAGACGAAGTTACGCGTGTCAGCTAGTATCTGATATTCCTTTTTCATAAACGTTGATTCTGCTTCATTTGTGTATTCAAATAATAGCATTGTCTGTATCGTGGATATCAACAATATAATGCTAACAACGGACGCTAATTCTTATTTTTTGCGGTGTTTGTCGCTACGTTGAAATCGTTCCAGGTACTGTCAAGCGGAGAGATGGAAACCGCTGATTCACGGCCGCGAGTAGCCTTGTACGACGAGTGGCGACGGTGGAAGGTAGCGCTCCGCTCGATAATACGAGGCTTCAGTCGCACCACGTCACCTCGCCGGGTGGCGACGGCGGGTGGTGGTAGGTGGTGGCGGGTGGTGGCACGCTGTAACGACTCTAAGGCCGAGGTTGCACGCCAACAATTATTGCATCTTTGAAATGTCTACATTTCTTATATTGAATGATATTTTATTAAAATTAGAATAAAGCGTTTGCTATTTCATTTATAGTCGGTTGCTAAAATAATGAAGGATTAATTAATAGAATATGTTGTGTATTTGTGGCGACATAATCGCGACAACTGAAGGAAAACTCATGATTCATTCACCATTATATTATTAGTTTATACTTTTTTTCAAGATATAGCATTATTATGTTTAATTCTTTTCATGATTCAGCATTACTAGGTTATTTCTTTTAGGATTTAATATTCATAGGTTTAATTCTTTTTAAATTATACCGCCTAATTTAAAAAGAATTAAACCCACGAGTGTTATATCCTAAAAAATCCATTATAATAAGTCCATACAAAATCATCATCTGCTTCTTCCTTATCCCATTTATTTGTGGTCGGCGTAATATGTTTTTCGCTTCCATTCATCCCTGTTCGCAGTCATCGCGTTATTTACTTCCTTTCTTACCATATCATCTTTCACACAGTCCATCCATCTCTTTTTCGGCCTTCCTCTGCTCTTATAACCATCCACATTCATATGTAACACCTTTCTTAAAATATTATCCTCGTTCCTACGCATTACATGTCCATACCATGATAGACGATTACTCTTCAACCTCTCTGACACCGGTGCCACTTTATTACAATCCATCCAAAATCCATTAATTACTTCACGGATCAAGCGCAGGTATACCCCTGGATTTACACGACGAGTGACATTTTTATTACAAGAAACCATGAGGAGTATTAAATTTTGTCACGACACATTTTAAAATTAAATATATCTAAGTACTAGCTGACCTAAGTAATAGCTACACGACTTCGTCTGCATCATACTTATCATTATATATCACCCAATTTGCATATCTTTTTAAATGATAGCCTATGTATTATTCTGATATATAAGCTATGTTACTGTAAATTTCATCAAAATCTGTTCAGTAGTTTTCATCCACCAATACTCACAAACTTATGCCTTTATAATATTAGTAAGATTATATACAAAACTTTAACAATTAACAAAAATTATATTAATTTCAAAATTTTATGATATCTCAATAGAAAATGACTTACTGTGACAAGAATGAGAGAGTTCAGAAAATGACGAAATGTGTGTGATTTGATGTATGCATGGTGCCTTATAGAATTACTTGTGTATTTATATATTCATTAGTAATTTAAAACTTTACTAATAAACTACTAAGCTTTATTTTACATGTGACTTCACCAGTGTGAGTGGGGTAATCTACCAACACAATAATATAAAAAGTAGGTTTTTTTTCTTTCCTCTATGATATACTACACATAGGGGTGAAGGATATTCTCTGTAATCCTACACATGTAGAATTATTGAGAATCATATACTCCCTCATCGGGGAAGGGGATAGTCAGTAATTTGGACTAGTGACACCATTGCTAGTAATATCCAGGTCTGCCTTCTAAATTATAATTTATGGCTAACTGTTGACTAACCAGTGACTATTATTTATGACATAATGGAATTTAACATTTTTTTTTTAATAAAATATATAATATTTCATAAATAAGTTTACCTTAAGTTACTCCTTATTACAAATTCTTATCTGTGAGTGAAGAGTCCCATCAAAGGATAGACAGAGACAAAAAATTTTTAAATTAATATTGTGGTGTAAGTATTGTATATACTTCCATATGCATTTAGTGAAAAGCTGTAAATTTGAAAATACAAACAGACACTTCTATTTTATTTATTTGTATCAGTGTTAATTACTGAATAAAACAAGTTTAATGTTTAAAGAGTGTAAAGTTACTTTTTAATTTAATGGCTTCTAAGAATATCTTTCAAAGTAATACCAACCATAAACCGTAATCTGTCATTATTATGTAATATAATATCAAGTTCAGATAATATTCTTAAACTTTCCTCCAAGCACTTTAGATAACAAATAATTTCCTATAACACACAATGCTGTGCCACACTATCACAGTTGTTCACTGCCAGTTAACAGAACAGATAATGACAATTCATAATTAACTAATTTGCCATCTCAATTAATAACAATTAGTTCACTAAAGTATTTATTTACTTTTTTATAATTGGTCTGCTCGTGTACACAAAATACTGCAATATTTTTATGTTATGAAAATGGCAATATCATTTAGCAAAGTAATAAAGTGGCTACATTTCATGAGCATGTCTACATAAATTGTAGGCAGTAGGTAGTTGGTACATACAGGGAGTGACATGGAGACAGCCAATTACTTCAATTGCTACAAGTACGCTTAATAGGAAACCGGCCTGTTCACAGAACATTGTGTAACTAATAAACTGTTCATATAATATTGTGTTTCTATGTAAGGAAAAGACTACATACTTTATAGGATAATTTATAGTAGTATTAAACATAACAGGCTCAAAATACACTAAATTGATGTGATAATTCATGGAATAAATCAAGAATATCATATTGTTTATTCACTGTATAGCCATATGGTCAGGTTATATTTTATGTGTAATCAAAACAACATTGTAAAACATGAGTATGAATTGTAAGGACTTTAACAGTGCAAAGGTAACTCACCATCTCCATTACGGTAGTCGTCTAGAGGCTTCATGTCTGCGAGCGGTGCCGCGGGCCGGGCCCCCGGAGACTGCGTCCCGTACCTGTGCACACACGAGCCGTGAGTAGCGCGCTCGGGGCCGCCGCCGCCGCACCTACTGGTGCCTCCACTAACTGGATTATACTGGACGCGCACGTGGTGGCGCGGCGACGGCGAGCGAGGCCGCGACGCAGTTAGCAACAGTCACATGGCCGACGTAAACAAACCCACCTGATGCGCCGATGCTAGTTGTGAGTCCGCAGCCTCTGACGCTGCACTGCGAGGAACGCGGGCACGCTCGCCACGGACGCTCGGTGCGGTAATTAAATTAAAGTCATTACGCGATCTCGATGCGAATACCTTTGCGCAGCCATGAGACAAGTCGGCCATACAAAAAATAACTTGTTTTGAATCGAATCGAATGAACTTTGGGAGGCAGTCATTCTGACAAATTGACGTTATCTATTTGACATTGACATTAGGCTGTCATTCATGAATATCTTTAATACGAGACTTAAGTTTGGGTTGTTTTGACAAACTATGATTTCAATAGACGTAGTGATTATTTGCTCACTTAATTTTCTTTTACTGAATTTATTTAAAGCTTATTTTCATACTCATACCAACACATATTAACATCGCATACAGCTATGACGCACACAAAAACAGGAATTGTAATGCGTTGTAACTGAGATTCTTTGTTTGTTTTTCCAGTCGAAAACGTTGAAGTTGAATTGTTTTATTACTTGCTTGTATATATTTAGATTTGATATACAATATCGGATAATATCATTGATACAGATTTTATATAGATGCTAATAAATATTGAAAACTACTAGGTACTTCAAATAATGCTATTTCCAATCGATTTCTTGAACGGTAGAATAGTAATAAAATTAATATAATAAGTTGTGTATGATATACACAATTTATTATATTAATTTTAAGTATCTTGATTGTATGTATATCGAGGTATATAAATAAATATTAAAATATATAAAAATATCAGTGTTTATAAGTATACAAATTTTATACACAAAGTCAACGAGCAATTTAATCGTTTCTACGGATGTATGTAGAGAAGGAAGAAGGCAAGTGACTACTTATTCATATAAGATTTAACGGTGTCATAGAAAAGTACTAAAATAAAAACAATACATATATAAGTGCAACTATGACAGACTAGTATGGACGATATAATATGGTAATGAAAATATTTTGTTAAGTACCTGTACTACAAGTGAATACCAGTATCATCACTAGACGTTAACGATTTTTCAATTGTAACAGGATAGGTAGCTTCGATGTCATAAAAATACTACGATCGTTGGGGTGATACAATGAAACGAGTAGAACGATATAAAACTATTTATTTGGTACATCATGTCGGGCCCGTCAGGCCGCGGCCTCGGCCTGTAGTTCGAGCAGGAGGCGTGCGAGCGCGTGCGGCGCGCCCAGGTTGAGGGAGCGCAGGCCGTCGGCGGAGCCCCGCAGCGCGCGCAGGCAGGCGGCGGGCGGGGCGGGGGCGGGGGCGGCGCGGGCCGGGCAGGGCGCGGGCCGCGGCGACATCAGCAGCGCGGGCTCGGGCGCTCGCACGCAGCGCAGCGCGGCCGCCGCCAGCATCCGCGCCGGGGGCTCCCAGCCAGCGTGGGACGCCGCGTGCAGCGCCGCCGCTGTACACACACACACACACACACAGTGAATCACTAGCCCTGGGCCTCGGGTACCCCGCACAGGTATGTATTTGAATTGGGACAATTTGTTTATTGTGTGGAACAATATTGTATAATACACACATAAATGTGGTCTAGTTGATAATGAAACATTTACTTTTTATTTGTTATGCAGTACAAATGCATTTTACTAATCGCAAGAAGTGTTTTTCATAAAATATTTTCATTTAAAATTATCCTTTCAAAAGGACAATTTGAAAATGTTTTTTATTACAAACTAATACTTAATATGATATTCACTTGTGTGTGTTGAATACTTCCTGTCAAAGAACATCGTTTCTTCAATAACAGGTCGTGAATTCCATTCCCAAGTGAATTGTACTGGCGGGAGTAGGTTTTCTTTTTATATACTACTATGTTGGCAAACAAGCATACGGCCCATCTGATGGTAAATGGTTAAAACGTACCGTGCTGAACTTTGATGGATCCCGGATTCGATTCTCAAACGTACTACACGGACATAAACGTACGTACCGTGCTGGTAGTCGTCGTGGTAGACGGAGAGCACGGGCGCGGCGAGCGCGTGGTGCACGTTGAAGCGGCCGGTGTCCCGCTGCGGGCGTACGTACCGTGCTGGTAGTCGTCGTGGTAGACGGAGAGCACGGGCGCGGCGAGCGCGTGGTGCACGTTGAAGCGGCCGGTGTCCCGCTGCGGGCGGGCGCCGTGCTCGTCCAGGAACCGCGGGTGTCGCAGCTGCGCGTGCCGCGAGAACGGCACCGGCGCGTACCACTGCACGCCCGCGATCGTGTTCATGCGCACCTGCCGCAGAGTATCACATCATCATCATATCAGAAGTTGATCACCTCAATACAACTACTACTACTCTATTAATTATTTATTTATTAAAATATTTACAGGACATTTTAGCCGAATGAATGAATATTAAGTTTTCTGTATTAATATTTTGTTCTTCACCATCCAGTTCAGTATATAGATTTGGTTGAGAAGATTTCGCAAGAAACTCATTAGATTTTTTTAAAAATTAAACTGCTTCATTTAAGCAGTCAGCCATTAATCATATTCGTAACTATTCGGTTAAACATATTGAGTATTCAAATGGAATCCGAGAAGTCTAGGAGCGGTAAAACGTATTGAGTACTCTTTTAGATTAATGTTGAAAGAAAGAAAGAAAGAAGAAAGAAAGAAAATGGTTAACTGGGTGTTAAGAAACATTTTCTTTTTTAAAGCAAATCTTTACATAAGAGAAGTAGTTTTTTATGTACTATGAAGTATTATTATTATTTATATATATCATATATCTTCCTTTTTATGGAGGTACTATCTTCAAACACGCGGGACATAACCAAGCGCGGATGTCTGAGTGGATGGATTTAAAAATGCATGCGGATGATGACTGTGATAACAAGAAAAATTCTTATAATACGGCATGTAATCAGAACAAAAATTTCAACTTTTACAAAAAGCCGTCAATTTTATTTTTTGTAACACTATTTTAGAGCATTTGCAAGCTACGTAGGTGTTTCTCATGTACCCTATTGAGGAAGTCCTCGTTGAAGTCCATGTGCGGCGCGGCCAGCAGCAGCAGCGCGCGGCGTGGCAGTCTAGGTCCGGCGGCGGCCAGCGCGGCGGTGGCGGCGCGCGCGGCTCGCTCCGCGTCGCGCCCCGGGGGCCCCGGGGACCCCGGGGGCTCCGCGGGCCCCGCGGGCCCCGCCGCGCGCGCGGTGGCCAGCTCCAGCGCGGCGGCGGGCTGCCGCGCCGACATCGCCGCTAGCTCCGCTCGCAGTGAGGCCGCGTTCTCCTCCGCTCGCGTCTCCGGCTCGCCCTCCTCGGACACGTACACCTGAACGTATAGATGCGGTCACATATCTCATACACAACTTTATGTTTGAAGTAAATTTACTATAAAATAAGTAAATTATAATTATATTTCTTTTCCAAATTATTCCACATTTTTATCAATTATAATTATGACTATATATAGTATAAAACAAAGTCGCTGTCGCTGTCTGTCCGTCCCTATGTATACTTAAACTACGCAACGGATTTTGAAGCGGTTTTTTTTAATAGATAAGAGTGATTCAAGAGGAAGGTTTATATACATAATACATGTACACCCGTGCGAAGCCGGGGCGAGTAGCTAGTAATATTATAAGCGCGAAAGTTTGTAAATATGGATGTTTGTTACTCTTTCTCGCAAAAAGTACTGAACGGATTTCATGAAACTTTACAGTAATATGCTATTTATGCATCAGAATAACTCATGGTTATATTTTATATTGAAATTTAAGGAGGGTAGGTACAGCTAGTTTAAAAATTTAATTACATTTATACTCTCATAATATAAATTTAAATATGATTCGATACAATGTTCAATTAACACACACTTTACAAAAACTTATTTATCACATATTTCAGATGCTAAACAACTTAATTAGAATAGAAAGAAAGAAAGAAAAAATTGTTAACTGTTAAAAAATGTTAAAACAAAAACAAATAGATATCACAATCTTTTAAAATGTAAAGTAATTAATTTAAAATGTAATGTAGTTTATAAACTAAACGTTTATATACTAGTAAAATGTAAAGTATGTCATATTGTTAATAATTTTTGTCTGTCTGTCTGTCGGACTGTTTGTTCCGGCTAATCTCTGAAATGGCTGGACCGATTTTGACGGGACTTTTTTTGGCAGGTAGCTGATATAATAAAGAGTAACTTAGGCTTCTTTTATTTTAGAAAAATAAAGTTAAATTCCACACAGAAGAAGTCGCGAGAACAGCTAGTCTCCTAATAACAAAGAAGGATCTGTGAAATATTTCAGATTTTAGTGTAGTGGTAAAATATACTTTTGAATTTACTAACAAATATTTGCAGCTACTCATGTGTGTACCCACAAAATCCTACAAACTTAAAACATTAACATCTAAATCTCAAATTGTACCTTTCCAATTAGCAAATTAGAAATAACTGAAGCATGTGTGCAATGTATGTATAGCTGATTAAATCGAATAGTACTCATAGGGGGAAGGGGATTTTAATTAGTAATATAGATTAATAATCCCATTGCTAACAACACACCGTGTCAGGTTTACCTTTACGCGATTTCGCTTGGAAACCATCAAGTTAAATTCCTGGTGAATTTCATGACGGGCAAACAGCCCTGATCTCATACATCCTATCATTTTCCACACCAGCGTAAACCGTTAACGCGGACGGGACCGCCGTTGTATTACCACCCTTAAAGAAACAGTACTCACCACAAGTAGCGCGGTGTTGTCGTCCCGCGCGAGGCACACGGCGGCGTACCGTGCGAGGAAGGTGTGCGCGTCCGAGATCGCAGCCGCCGTCACGGGCAGCAGCAGTGCGACGCGCGCACTCTCCGTCACGTACGGCACGCGCGCCAGCCTCGCAGCGCCGAGTGGACGCAGCAGTTCTAGTCGTCGCAGCCGGCCACGTGCGCGCAGCAGCACACGCCAGCGCAGACCCCGCGCCGGGTCCCAGCGCCACGCGCCCTCCACCAGCGCGGGCGGGCCCGCCTCGTCCCCGCCGCCCCGCTGCCCCCCCTCCGGCGCCGGGCCCGCGCCCACGTGCGCGGCGGCCGCCCGCACGGCGAGCTGCGCGGCTCGCAGCCAGTCGCCGGCGAGCGGCGCCGCTGTGCTGAAGTCGTCGCCCAGGAACGAGTGTGTGCCGTTGAATGATGTCCAGCGCTGGTGGTCGAACCTATATAAGTAGGACATTGGTAGTGATGAGGTGTACAGTGCAACTTTACGTTTTCTCGTCAACAGTTTTAGGCGACATGCGCACGACTATATTACTTATGAAGTCCGCTAACGAAACTCAAGACAAGACTATCATTATAAATTGTTGTAATTAAATTTCATAATCTTAATTTATGTAAAGGGAACACGTAGCGCCATCTATTATCGCTTTGGGAATAAATCAGCACACGCGACACTGTATTACCTCTTTGATTTTTCATATCACTTGCGTTGCACTGCTAAAATATGTATTTCAAATAAAATAAAATAAATTTATGACGACTCGGTGGTCTAGTGGTCTAGCACACCGCTTTACGACCGATGGTCGCGGGTTCGATTCCTCGCACGGCACAAACATTTGTATTCATTGACTATGATTGTTTGTATCGGTCTGGTTGTTTTCTATGTATAATATGTATATATTTACAAAAAAAATGTATGTATACGTATCAGTTATCTAGTACCCATAACACAAGCTTTAGCTAGCTTAACTTGGGTCTAGATGGCGCTGTGTGAATTGTCCTGATTGATTATTACTATTATTATTACTATTAAATCCAAATGAATGGTATAATTTGGAACGCAGATTCATCACAAGAAACTTGTGTGTTACTGTTTTGAAAAGATATTATTTAAAATAAATAATTACACAATAACATGCGGTAATCAACATAGAAACCGCTGCACACTTATTCTTAATGGAATCCAATAATATTGTCAGCGCATTTAAAAACTTTTAAATTTTTAAGTTCAACTGACTTCAAGTCAATCTGTACTCAATCCTCATTTAAACATGTTTTTTTTTTCATAATATTTAAAAAGTAATAAACGTCTAGCTAACTCAATCCACAAGAGATCTCATTGCTATATTGGACTGCCTAGAGTTAGAGTGTCCCGTGGTGTCCCGTGGTGTCCCGGCGTGTGTCCCGCACCTGGTGGGCGGCGCGGGGTCGGCCATGCCGAGGTCGGCCCGCAGCCCGCCGGGCCACGTGGCGTTGCGGTAGTGGCGCGGCAGCCGCCCCGAGCGCCGCCAGATCTCCGCCCGCAGTCGCCACTCCGCCTCCTTCGCGCGCTCCAGGAACACCTGACCGCACAGATACACAGTCAAAGATGAATAGAATAGAAAATCATTTATTCAAATAAACTTAATTTAAGCACTTTTGAATAGTCATAACAATTTGTTTTTTATCTACCACTCGTTCGATGTCTCATCACAAGAAGAACGTATACACGTGTGTTGATTATTTAAATAATCCTTGTAAGTTTACATTTACAAGTCGAAACGTGTGAATACAAACCAAAAAACTAATTTTTTTTATAATCATGCAATAAGATTAAATCAGTCGTAGTGACAAAGCAGCCCTACAAGCAGCACTCGTTCACGAGTATGACGGATGAGCCAGCCATCACTGCGCTCGACCATATTTTAGGGAGCCCATTGACCCGGCCCACCACGCCGCCACATGTCTGGACATGTTTTATTACTAGTTATTAACATGTTTCTAATGCATCTTGGGCTCTTGACGGCCTCGGTGGTCTAGAAGTGACATACGTCAATTCCGATGGTCGCGAGTTCGATTCCTCGTATAGCACAAACATTTGTATACACGAGTATGATTATTTGTATCAGTCTGGTTGTTTACAACGCATAATATGTATGTATTACGAAAAAAAAATCTATGTATTTGTATCAGTTATCTAGAACCCATAACAAAAAAAAAACTCGGGTCTAGATGGCGCTGTGTGAATTCTCTTGAAATTATTATTATTATATCATAGAGAAATTGCTTGGATAAAATATACAGCTACAACCTCCTAATTGTGTTTTCATTCAATCAGTAATAAACAGTCCTGATCTCTATTTTATTTTATGAAATGATGTAGTATTGAACATAACGAGTACTACTACTTGCTCCCTACAAGTTATGCCTTAAAGAAAGTGTATAATATGAACAGAGATGGATGGAAAGAGAGAGGAGAACTGTGTGAAAGATTATAAGGATAAAAGAAGAGGATGCTCAGATATGACGGCCGCAATGGGAGAGGATAAATATACTGCGTCAAAATAAGGGAATAAAGGCAAAACAATAATGAGTGCTGAAGGGGGTACGTACCCGCGCGGTGTACGCGTGCAGCCGGTAGAGGTGGTCGGGGTCAGTGACCGGGTGCGCGGTCACGGCGTCCGCCAGCGCCGGCGTCAGGCCTCCGCCCCCGGCACCGTCCTCCGACAACCGCATCGACTCGTAACTCTCGCCCTGAAACGTGACAAACGAACACTCGATATATGCGCGGGGAAGGGGCTTGTCAGTAATGTGGACTGCTGAGTCCATTGTATCAATCAGGTTGACAATGGAGGTCGATGTCAAATGCTTCTCCTATGATAAATTAATGGACATGAACTCGAGTTCATCCTATCATCCTATATTGGTGTATCGCCATACATATACCGTTAAGAGTCCATAATTTTATTATCATCCTTTAATAACAATATACCTTTCAACCCGGTCAAAGAACTAAAATGTTGAATCATTGAGGAATTGGGGAACAAAATTGAAGACATAGCGAGGTTCTCGTTATGTGGGGCGAAAATGAGGTGGTCTGCGGCAACGCAATGTCTGTTTGCGGGCGGTACTTGCGGCGTGGAGCCGGAGTTTCTATGAGTGTGTGCGGTATTTGCGGCATGGAGCCGCAGTTTCTATGAGTGTGGGCGGTACTTGCGGCGTGGAGCCGCAGTTTCTATGAGTGTGGGCGGTACTTGCGGCGTGGAGCCGCAGTTTCTATGAGTGTGGGCGGTACCTGCAGCGCGGCGACGCAGTTTTTGTGCGCGGCGTGCAGCACGCAGCGTCCGATATTCTCGTGGTGGCGCGGTGAGTACGAGTTCCGCACACACCAGTCCAGCTCAGCGTGCACCGAGCGCAGCACAGAGTTAGAAAGCAGGATGCCACCCTCTGACGGACACAACACGGGACATATGATTTAAGCTACCAAATTCTTTTTTTCTTTCCAATTATTCTGACACATACACTCATTAAAAAAACTTAATATGCATGTAATAAAAATGTACAGGTCGAATTTCTGTACATAGCCAAAAACTGAGTCAAAGGGATGTTAGAAGTCAAATAGAATATTTTTGATTTTATTTTAATTTATTGTTTCTCTGTCTGTTTATATAGGCTAATTATTAAATAACAAGAGATATTAAAGATAAAAAATTTGTAGTAACATAAAGAATTACTCCATTGATATATTATAGTGGAACATGATGATTTTGATGATTAAAAGGATCTTAGTTCAGAGAATTTAGTATAGTATGTTTTAAGTAAAATTCTTTTTAAAGAAGTATGAGAGAACAATAGACATATTTGTTTAATCAAATGGTGACATACCTAGTGAGCAGTAGTTGCTGTCATCTTCTGCAATGGTACCCATATAAATATCTTGACTGACACTCAGTTTTGAAACGAGCTCCGTAAGGCGCCGCGCATTCACGAACGACGCGTCCGACACCAGGAAGAAGAAGTCGTACTCTTCAAGGTAATTGTCAGCGAGATATTTGAGTGCATGAAATGGTTTTAGCATTTCACGCGTATCGGTGAAGCCGACTACGTTGGGGAGGCCGGGCGCGGCCTGCAGGGTGCTGGCGGTGATGAAGAACCTGAGTGCGGGCTGCAGGCGCGCCGCGGTGCGGTTGAGGGCGGCCACGCGGCTGCCCAGCGCGGCCTCCGAGCTCAGCACACCCGCCAGCAGGGAGCCTGCTTATTGGGAACTACATTGTAATGACACACAAGTTTTCAACACTATTTATATACACAGGTCTTCAACACTACTTAGGTTTTTCTCCCTATGAATTTCCCTTGCATTCTACTGATTACAACACAGATTTGAATTACAAAAAGGGCTATCAGATATGGATAATTTTCTATTCTCAATATATTTATTGACTTCCATAATGTTCACAGTGAAAGATATTTATAATTGATACATTTAGATCTATATGGCAAGCATACATAACAAAAATTTTTAAACTTTACAGTAATATAGCTTGCGCATCAGAATAACATATAAGCTATATTTTTTACTGAAATGCAGGTGGAACCACAGGCATAGTTAAAAACATAATTTAATATTATTATATCAAATCTAATAATCAATATATCTTCATTCCTGTAGGTTTATTACAGACTTATGATATGTCAAATCTAACATCAGTATGTAGTGCTTTTGAGCTGAGAAGAACTGACATAAAACGCTTCTCTTATTCTTTTCACAAAAATTGATTTTTAATTCAAAATTAGGGAGAATAGAGTGACCACCAGCCTATACTATTGCAATTTTGTCAAAAGGATAACAATAATAGTCTAACCACAACAAACCCATTCCACAAGATTTCATATACCCATTTATATTATGACATTCATATATTTAAAAGAGCAACACACAAGTTTCTTGCTCATCCTTCTTGTGATTAAGTCTGCATTCAGAATGAGTGGTAGAAACAAAAATTTGACAATTCAAAAGTGCTTATATTAAGTTTATTTGAATAAAGATTATTTCTATTTCTATATTACACAAAAACTCAAACTAAAGTTTAAATAAAATAAATTAATAGTACATTGAATGTTAATAAGAATAAATATATAATTAGTAGTTCATTGTTTCTTCAATTGTGAACTGAATGCATATTTAGGTCACAGCAATACACAGGCATTCTTGTGATAATAGTTATGAATCATACATATAAATATACTATATATATTACTTATTCTAGCTGACCCCGCATTGTTTTGCCATATAAATTAATACTCCTTGTTGCCGATGGCAACCTTTTTGATAGTTTTTATGTTTTTTATATATATTTGAATTTTACATTTTGACATTCTGTTTTTATATTCAATTTATTTTCTTATGCCATATTCTGTCTTTATATTTTTGCTAGCGAGCTGATTACACTTATTTTACCTCACCTAGGAATGTGTCTCATTTTTAACCAGCCTTAATACAGTCCTTCCGTAACACCCCTATTAAAATATAGGGGTTGAACATTGAACAGTGATAATTATGATTGTATGTATTCAAATGCCATAGCATAAAAAACCTAATATCAAACTAACAAAGTATACATGTAAAATTTTTATAAAAATTGGTATAATGTAGGTTAGAGATATATATCATAATCACTAAAACATAGTTACATAATAATAAATCAGAAATATTCAAACAGACTTATATAGTACCATTTACTTAGTTTTTTAGAGTTTCTACTATGGGTTAGTGATATAGATACTTGAATACATCTATACATATAAATAATATTGGAGTGTCTGTTTGTAATATTGAAATAACCATTTTTTACTACAATCATATCAATATAAATATAGTACATACACCAAAAAGTCATTTTTTACAATTTTGGTCTGTCTGTTTGTTCCGGCTAATCTCTGAAATGGCTGGACCAATAGCCTGACAGGTAGCTGATGTAATAAGAAGTAACTTTGGCTACTTTTATTATAGAAAAATAAAGTTAATATAATACAGCCGCCCAGACCTATATAGAAAAAATTACTGGAGGGCAGAGAATGTAGCTCTAGACATTGCATCACACCCTGTTGTGCATTGTCATTTCTGAGGATAAAAGTGGCATGCTGTTATGTCACATAAACTTTTTTTATATTATTTGATGTTATATGTACAGAGCTTTTAATGTCAGAGAAATTAATTTCACAGATGGCAATATAGTATATTTATTGGATAATATCTAAATTTCAAAGAATTTCACTGGTAATTCTATATGGAAACCCTATAAGCATAATGGTAATGCAAACTTTGGGATGGGTATGAGGTGGGATGGGTTCTCATGTCAGTTATAATTATTTGTAGTGTGATTCTGTTAATTATTTTATAATATTAAATTAAACATCATAATAGCCATCAATTAATTATCTACTCTTTACTTGTTAATTATAATTATTACGATTTCTATAATTAAGTTATTTAATATTAAAATTCTATTATCTAAATCTACTTACTAACTAGCATAGATAAGATGGCAATTGTGAAGGTTTAATAGTGTCTGTCAATTGCAAAGATAATAAGGCATACTACCTTTCATGCCAAGCTCGGTGCTGTAATATCTGGGTCGCTGCACGCTACGGCCGGCCGTCTGTCCCGCGGAGCCCAAGGGCTTCTCCTCGCGATGTGGTTCGAATTCATCGGCAGCGCCAACGCTCGCAGGCACGTCCACGCAAGCGGACACATCGTCCTCAAACGGCACGGCCACCAACGCCACCAACAATCCAAGCACCAAGCCCACCAGGAAGAACGAATTGTGCTTCACTTGCGTGACCACGTAGCGAGAAAACATTGTTACAAAATAATTGGACAGGCGACGGAAAAGATTGTGGATATGAAACTCTAATAAATATCCATTGTTATTTAATTTAGATTGAATTTATTTCTGTTAGTTTTTATATAGTAATAATAATTTCAAAGTTCAGATAGATAAATGAACTATAAATGAAACTTATGAATCAAACTTTAACACTTGACATTGATATCTGACAACTTGATTGACAGTTGCAGTCAATCTTTACACCTTTAGAATTGAGCGGAGTGATTATTTGCTCAGTCCTGGCATGATCATTTTAGCAATAAATTATATTGGTCTACCACTGAAAGTATTCGAAATGTTTTTAACTAATTTCTACTTATGTAACTATACTGCTTATGGTAAAATAAAAATATATTTTTAAGGTCTGCTATCTAATTCTATTTTTTCTTTCATTATTACAATGTAGTAACTGACTCGGTTAGTATTATTGTCTTTAATTAAATGTATTTTAATGTTATGTTTAGTATTACCAAATGTATATTTAAAGCAAAATGAATATAAATATATTGAATATAATTTTATTCCCGCCAATTTTATTTACATTTGTGGCGACTTCGTATTTAGTAAGTAAAGGTATTCTGCAGCGCCTACAATAAAAAAGCCTAATGTGACTATTTTAACAAAAACATTAAACACCATGATAAACGTAGTATTTCACAAGTCCACTTCTGAAATTCTTATGCTATATGATATATTTAAGAAACTGTATGAATGGTAAAAAATAATAATGTCGTTTTGCAGTAAGTAGTTTTGTAGCAACAGCAAGAATCGTACAACTGATTGTTATTTTCTCCGGACAACTCACGTTATGTTAAAAAAAAGAGAAGAATGCCATAGTCTATTCAAACCTACCATCGGCTAATTGTTTTTGCTACATAGTACATTATCCGATTTTAAAATGTTGTAGTATGGAATCACGGTTGTCAATTTCTTAACACAAAGTACACAGAACATCATCGTTATTCCGACTGGGTAACACCAGCCTAATTAAAAGGTTATGTAATGAATTTAGAATGGACCAAAGATAAAGTAGCACTTCTTGACACGAGTAAGTATTCTACGACTATTCTAGTGCAATAGAAATATTTAGAAAATGGTATGATTTAAAAATTTGGGTCCAACATATTCTGGAAAATACATGTGTTACATTTTCATTTACTTTCATTTCATTGACTTTTTCTTTTGATAATTGTGTGGCTTTTTATGAACATGGGATACGCTTCCAACAGGACATCGTAAATATGTAAAATTGATATGAAGGCTATTGGAATATTTTTATACAAGCTGTGCCTGCGGTGTCACCCGTATGAAATTTTTAGATTATGTGTTATTCTGATGTCTAGGTAATCGATATTACTGTAAAGTTACATTTAAATCCGTTCAATAGTTTTTGCGTGAAAAAATAACAAATATCCATCCAGTTTTAATTATAATAATAAAATAATAAGTTTAGCGGATTATAGCTGGACTATTGTCAAAATATTACAGAATCAGTATACGAGAGGGTAGCTAAGCAGAGTTAGTTATTTAAACATATAAATAAAATTGGAGTGTCTGTTTGTAATATTGAAATAACCGCTTTTTTACTACATGCATATGAATATAAATGTATCGTACATACAACAAAATAACATGTATAATTTTTGTCTGTCTGTCTTTTTGTTCCAGCTAATCTCTGAAATAACTGGACCGATTTTAACGGGTACTTTTATTGGCAGATAGCTGATATAATAAGAAGTAACTTACGCTACTTTTCTTTTTGAAAAATTCTCTAATTATCTTTTTTCTTAAACTCCACGCGGACGAAGTCGCGGGTACAGCTAGTACTATATAAATTTTATTACATGTAACTTGCGGCAACCCACAAAGATATTAATAAGCATACATAGCAAGTTATAGCACAGTACGAGTCGTGAGTAGTAAATGGAATCTATTTAATTTAATCCAGATCAGTAACAGATATCGTATATCTTCACAAACTTTGATTTTGTTTAAGGAAGTAGAATTAAATATATTTTGTGTCGAGTACAGACGTCACGTTGCGACATGATGCCGCGCGGCAAAATAAAACTCTACGTAATGTTATGGTAAAAAACAAAACAAACACATATATTTCATATTCGGTGAATTCAACATTCATGTAGGTACGTACACGCTAGCTGAATTTTAAACATTGCGGTAGCTAGGTACGGGTATGTATTGTTATTAGATTATTACAAAATCATTATTTACTTACTCTCTAAGATGTATAGACAAATGAGATGAAATAAAAACAAAATATCAAACATTAATACTTACATAGATACATTCTGTAAGTTTGTAAAAATATTCTTGGGAATTTAACTTGCAGTCTCACATATTTCAATTTTAAAATAAGTAAGTAAGTAATTATAAAAGTAGGTAACATGAACAAAACTTAGGCTGCGGATTTAGTGACAAACCTAACAATGAAGGATTGTTTGTCTCTTTCTTTCACATGAAGAAAGAGTAGTAGGGTTTAGAGTCTATAACTCGCACGTGACACCCCTGGTGATTCGGGTGGGAAAGGGGATTGTTAGTGTCACATTACTAACAATCCGTCAGGTTGACCGCCACGCGGTTCCCCCTGGAAACCATCATGACAAATTCCTGGTGAGCTTGTCACGATGGGCTAACTGACCTGACCTCATGTTCATCTTATCATCTTCCACTGGTGCCCCGCCAGCGTAAACCATTAGTGCAGCCGGGTGCACAATTCCATTATCATAAAAAAAAACCCTGGTGATTTAGGCGTCCTTTGGCTATGGTAACCGTTCACCAACAGATGGGCCGTATATACCTAGTGGTCGTAGTATAAAAAAAATGTCTTTTCGGGCTACGAACACTGATTGCACTTTCTTTTGACAGAATTGCAATAACTTATGTTGGTGGTCACACAATTCTCTCAAATTTGAATTTAAAATGAATCAGTATTTTTGTAAACTTGTAAAAACTCATTTGACTAAGAGAAAATAAGAATTTAGTTTCTTCTCAGTTTTTCTAAGCTCGAAAGCACTACGAACTGACGGTATATTTGAGATACCAAGAGAGTCTATAATAGACCTACATAAAATAGACTATCAATAAAGATATTTTGATATTGATAGGTACATTAGTTGCTCGTTAGTAACGAGTGTAACGAGTCGTTACACGGAGGGCCACGAGTGTTACACTTGCTTGTCACGTTTACACACCACCGATTACGTAAATATATTCTAATGTTTACATAAAGGAAGCAGTCATGAATTGTAACCAACAAAATCTTACCTTATATCTTTTCCTGTTCTGAAACGACAAAGAAATCAACTTTACCAATGTTTTTATATCTACGTAACTACTGATATTTGTACAAAAAATTGAAGATACAAAAGACCCTGGGACGCGAGCTAACGACATGTAAGACACCTGCAAAATTTTTAACCAATCAGTTAAAATTTTGGTTACACCAGATAAAAATTATGAGACTTTCAACTGTTTTTATGAAATGTTACACTGCCTAATTATAAATTTATCTTTAATCTATAATATATATAAAATTACATAAAATTGAAGTATATGTATGTTTGTAATATTTAAATTCAAATAAAGAAAAAACATTATTTGTCTATCTGTTTGTTCCTGCTATTTAACTTATATACTGGACATCGTCTGATTGTAAAAATGATTTACTTTTGGGTGAAATAGTTCATCACTACTATCATGGGTTTTCTAAGACCAACTCTGTCGTTCAAATAGAGCACAATGGAAGCATCACAGACCACGATGTAGTACGATTACGAATTTTCTATTTTTTGTAGATCACTGTTGTATCTATATCGACCCGAAAGGGACTCTATTTGTTCAAGAATACGGAAAGGAAAGTATTACACCGCACGCGCTTCATCCTTTCTTGTACGGTTCTGATAAATTGAGGATCGTTTTATTTATGCGAGGGCGATGCATTAACGTTTTTAGAGTGCTCTCTAAAAACGTTAACACATGTCTGCACTGTCACTTTAGATGGACAGGTATATGAGTAGAAATCAATCTAGAGATCCATGCGCCTCTCCATAATTTAAATTTTGAATTTTGACATTATTTCAATTGTGAGATTTTTTTTATATATTATTATATGGCGTTTAAGTAACAAAAAGGTATATAACTAAATTTCATTCCACACTTGACATTGTGCACTCGTTTGCGCTAACTGTATGCGCTGGCGGGGCACATGTGGATGGTGATAAGATATGCATAAGGTTAGGTCATCTGCCCATTGTGGCAATTTTTTTTATGACTAATAATGGAATTTTGCTTTCGTCTGCGCTAACAGTTTACACTGGCGGAACACCAATGCATGATGATCACGTCACGTGACATGAGGTCAAGTCAATTATCCCTTCGTGGGAAATTCACCAGGAAGTAACAACGATGGTTTCCAGGGTGAGCCGCGTGGAGATCGACCAGACAATGTCCCTAGTATTATTCTGTGTGTGTACAGATACAGATCTAATTGTATTAATACACTACGCACGAAAACTCCCAGTTACACCTAAGTAATATGATTACGTTACCAGGTGAAGCAAGTTTTGATAATTATATTTCTAAATAGCGCAAAGAAAGCTGCGTGGATAAATTTTGATTAATTCGTACAATAATAATAATAATATCTCTGAAAAATTTACACAGCGCCATAGTAGAATAGAATAGAATAGAAAATCATTTATTCAAATAAACTTACATTGAAGCACTTTTGAATAGTCATAACATTTTTTTTTAAATCTACCGCTCATTCGGAATACTGTCTCATCACAAGAAGAACAAGCAAGAAACTTGTGTGTTGCTCTTTTAAATAATTTATTCTTATTTACAAATTTAAGTTTCAGTGTGTGAATACAAACCATCGATTAGCACTAATTCAATGAAATAATACAATGGAAAAAACATTCAATATACAACAACTGGTTAAACAATTAATAAGAGAAAATAAGTCAGTGATTAGAGCAGACCAGTCCACACAAGCTGCACCCGTTCACGAGTATGACGGATGAGCCAGCCGCCATTGCGCTCGACCATATTTTAGGGAGCCCAATGACCCGGCCCACTACGCCGCCACAAGTCTGGACATTTTAGTGAGCATGACTACTCAAAACACCAGACCACGTCATAGCTACACACAATTGCCATCTGATGGTTATAGTATTCACATTTCACATGAGAATGCATGCGGCAATCAATACAAAAACCGTTACGCTTTCATATTTCTACATAAAATAATTGAATCAAGAAAGCAATGAGATAAACAAATTATAACGTTGTATGCTATTAAACTAATTATTTACTTGATATGTTGTCGTCTATGAATTCGTCTATCCTGTAATAGGCTTTCTTACACAAAAATTGTTTAATATAAGATTTGAATTGCCTCTCTGTCAGATTTAGTGCAGATTATGGCAGTTTATTATAAAATCTTACGCAATTACCATAGAATGAATTACTTACTTTGTGCAGACGGCATTTAGGTAAAATTAGCTTATTAGTGCTCACTAGTCCTAATGCAAGCAGAGCTTGTATTATGGTTATACTAGACAATTCATATAAATAATAAGATTTTTTTGTAAATACATACATATATGATATACATTTATCACAACGACCGATACAGACAATAATACAAATGAATACAAATGTTTGTATCGTGTGAGAAATCGAAAATGTCGCGCACTTAAAGCTTGTTGGTAATCGTTCTTTATTTATAGACCCAGAACAAATATCGAAAATTAATACATAACGTACTAATAAAATTTATTATTGCATGGTTCACAATTAATCGACAGTCTACAATCTCGCGACACTATAAACTACCTAATGGAATTCACAATATATTTACATACATTCAAAATGATTAAAAAGATAACCCAAAATGCATGGTGGGTAAAATATTATCTGGTAGATCTGAAATTTCGATCAATAGAAGCCAAATTTTTCATTTAATTTTTTCTTACATAGGGTTAGTTCATGAAACTTTGAAAATTACACTATGTTGTGGGCTCTATGGTTTTTCGCTGGGCAAAAATTTAATATATAAAATTCTCTTGTCACAGTGTTAGTTATTGTGCTTATCCGAAGCGCTTAGTCAATTTTGATGAAATTTAATATGGATACTCAGTAGATCTGAGAATAGGTTGTGATTAATTTTTTATTCCCCTAAGTGACAAAAAAAAAAACACCTGCAGCATTAGTCGACATTTTTGTCTGACGCGAGTCGACGTAGGTCGCGTATTGTTACGTGGCCGTTGCCATGACAACGCGGGGACAACATCAATACGATTTATTTTCAACATCGCGGCACGTATCGACGTTTATTATATTTGTATCGCAAATTGATATATTCTTGAGGTTTCCTTCAATTGAACGTGTTTGTTGTGATCACGAGGTCGGGATGTGCCGAGTTTTCCCCCACTTGGGGTATTCAGACATACTCAGAAGATAAGGTTAGTTTATTTTAATAATGTATTGCTTTTATAATATAATGTTTGTAATTTCAAATTAACAGTGGTGATGACAACCAGGATTAAAAGTTAAAAAAACCAGGACTAACCAGTTTAAAAACAGAACGCAGTAATAGTGTTACAATTAATATGTAGCAAAATTCAAGTAATTAATTTAATGAGGTTTTTAATAAAAAGTATTAGATAATATATACGGTTGAAAATCAGTAATTAAGAGGCGCGTATATTTTAAAAACCCAAAGCCAAATAATTATTCAGGACTTCCCAGGATACTTATGTCCTGGGTAAACAGGACGGTTGGTAACTTTATGATAACAAAATAACTAGCGGCCACTGTAGGTACGTGTATTCATTTGCAGCAGCACAAATAAAGAGAAATCTGAGGGAAAGGAAAGGGAATATTGTAAGAATATTTACAGATGGCGACTTTAAAAGATTTGTACCTACATTATAATTAACCAGCTACCCACCCCGGCTTCGCACGGGTGTGCTTGTATCTATACATATAAATAAAATTGGAGTATCTGTTTGTAATATTGAAATAATCGTTTTTTTATTGGCAGGTAACAGATGTAATAAAAAGTAACTTAGGCTACTTTTATTTTAGAAAAATAAAGTTATATATAGTAGTTAGTTATTATAGTAGTTATTATAATAATACCGTACAATATCGACAATATCATCTTCTACTATTGCCCCGCCAGCATAGAGGCGATAAAATTGTTTCATTTCTTTTAATTTCAGAATGTGTTTGTTTCAGGTTCATTCAGCATCAGTATGGGCTTATTAGACAAGCTGTCGACATGGCTGGGTCGCGGTAAGACGGAGGTGACTGTTCTGGTGCTGGGGCTGGACAACAGCGGCAAGAGCACGCTCCTCAACACCCTGCGGCCACCGGAGCAGCGAGCGCAGCACCTCGCGCCCACCGTCGGCCAGCAACAGGACCACTTCCAAAGTAATACCTATTGATAATAATCGGGTATTTTTGTGTATTACCTTCTCTCCAATGATCTCGTATGTTTCATTTGTATTCATGAGTATGATAGTTTGTGTAGGTCTGGGTGTATTCCTAATATATTTCTTATGATTATGATAATGGAACGGTGCATCCGTCTGCGCTAATGGTTTACGCTGGCGGGGCACCAGTGGAGGATCATAACATAAGTATGAGGTGAAGTGAAGAAAATAAAATAAGATATATTTCTATCGATGTTTCCAGGAGGAATCACTTAGAGATCAACCTGACATGGTACATTGTCAACATGGGGTTATTAGTCTACATTACTAACAATCCTCGCCATTTTAAATATATTTTGCATGTATTTACAAAAAAATAAGTATTTCTATAACTTGTCTCTTACCAATAACATATGTTCTGCTTAGCTTGGGACTACATCTTGTCTGGGAGATTTGGGCTATTGTCAGGTGCTACCTGTAACACTGCGACCTGTATAGATTTATTGTCTCGCCATTATTCAGAGTTCGCTACCTAGACCCGTGAGGGACAAGAAATGATGTTTATCTCCTATATCTTAGGATATAGTGTATACTTTCAAAGTAGATATTTCGTTTATACATAAGTGGACTGCAACCGTATATGATGTGTAGTGGCGTTTCCTCTTCTTCTTGGTAAAATCTGCAGATTGATGATAAGCTAATGGGTTACTATTTACCATTAGATGAGTCATTAGCTTGTTTGCCATTTCAATTACTTTTGATATAATGTACCACGTCAGCTGGTCCAGCAGTGGGCCTTTGTCCTACTAACAGTACGTGTGGGGGGCATGTTGTTGTCCAGGCGGGGGGGTGTCGTTCAGCGCGTGGGACGTGTCGGGAGCAGCGCGGCACCGCGCGCTTTGGGAGCGCCACTACCGCCGCGCGCACGCTTTCATATACGTCGTCGACGCCGCCGACCACCTACGGCTCGGTTAGTGATCTTTCACATTACAGACACACCAACACGCTGCATTCCTACAAGAAAGTTTATAAGAGCAATAGCATATAGAGACTAGGTGAACCTGCAAACGTTATTTAGCTTTATAAATTAAAGTACTAATATCGCTGTTAATAAAATAGTGGTTGATGATAGAAGGGTTAAAATTTAGGGTTTAAATTTTCTCCTAAAATAAAAAAAAATATGGTGGGCTATCCTTGTCACTTATATTTATATAAATACCTATATTACAACCTTTTTTCAGACCTATTGCGTTTACATATACAATTTTATCAAAATCGGCTAAGCCGTTTTGGAGATGTATGTCAACTATCACTGTGACAACATAAATAGTGTATATATAAATATGATTTTTTTGAGGCCAACACATAGGGTCATGAAAAATATTAAAAAAACTTGGATCTGGTATGATAACGTGATGTCGCATAATATTCAAAAGGAAACATGTAAGCGACTACGATTTGTATTTATTATAACCTTGTTTGCTATCTGCCTGACGTGAAATTCCCAGCCGTGGACGGTAAGTATGAGCTAAAACAGTGGTGGTGGTGTATGATTGCAGTGGTGGCCCGCGAGGAGTTGGAGCTGATGCTGTCTCACCCGGATGTGTTCGGACGGCGGGTCCCTTTGCTCGTATTCGCCAACAAGTGCGATGCAACACACGCACTCGCGCCCACGCAGGTCGCCTCCGGTACAGGCTTTGTATTACGTTTTATTTAACACTAGCTGACATTTCCCCTCCTATCTATACCTTGTGCAATTCAAACGGGGATCGAAATTACGACGGCCTGAGCCGAGGTTCGAAACCCTAGCGGTGCCATCAGACTGAAGTCGCATCCGTCAGGTAGGGGTTAGCCTTCAGCTGCTCCATAAGTCCTTCCGTAGGTTTGGAGTGCCATCTGCACTCGCCCCTTATAGTCCGGTGAAGGTATAAATGCTAGCACCTACCAACGCATAAGAGTAGTAAAAAAAATGACATTTATAGGTTGTGTTATTCTCTTGTAAAGTTTCCTTAAAATCCATTCAGTAGTTTTGTCGTGAAAAAGTAACAAATATCCATCGTTCCATCCAAACTTGTAATTTTTCACGATTATAATATTAGTAAGACTGTGGAATTGTGGTTTTATACTAATAGCTGCTTTTAGTTCGCGAAAGACAGCGCAATCGTGAAGAAGAAAGTATTTCATGTAATTTTACTTTCTTTTAAAATTTTTATTTATATTGCACGGGTTTTATTTTCCAAAGTTACTTTTGAGATTTATATATTATAAATATCACTATAATTATGTCTTTGCTCCATAGTTAGATGTCAGTTTAATCAATAGCCGGCGCAAAAACCGCCGCAATGATAATTAATTATTTCAAAAAGTATAGTTTTTATAGACAACCAATCAGAGAAACTAAAAAGTAAATAATTCGAAGAACCGAGGGTATGCGCCGTAACAAGCAATCAACTCAGCTTAAAAATGCAGCGCTTATATTCTGTTGGCTCCTATGCAACAGTGTACTATATATGAAATTCTATATTAAAATATTCGAGACGAAAAAGCATTTCAAACGCAAATGGTTTCCATTAGCACTTTTTAAAATATTATATTCAAAGTTTTACTACTTAATTGCAAAAACTAATAATAACTTCGTTAATAAAGTCAGTGCCCGATGGCGCTGCAAATTAAGTTCACCTGAGTTTACAGGCTGTAGTAGTTATACCTTAGTTAGAAATGGTTTCACGGCGCCTCTGGAGAGTGATACGGTAATTACTAGATACATCCGCGGTGCACATTAACTTTGAAATAAATGGTTAGCAAATATGATGTAATTCGCTGACTCTCCCTTGATGTTTATTTGTTTTAAGTCTCCATAGAATGTTCAGAACGAACACTGTTCCTTAGAGCTGCATTTACGTACGCTCTTTCATGAAATTCTTTCATTCTATCAAGAAAGAGTGTGTATGAAAACGTAGACAAAGAGAATGAGAAAGTGCCTCGCCGCCAGAGATCACATTTCCGTGTCCTTTAATCGTTTGAGCTTTGTCGTATTTTTATAATAAATAATTAACATTGCAAAATGGCGGACATCCAACTATGGAGATAAAACAAAAAATAACATTTTAAAACAAAGTAAAACAAAATGTTACATACGCCTAATTACACGCGAAAGAGTGAACACAAAAAAATAGTAAATGCAATCTCCCACATTTGCGCGCGCTGGCTTTCCCGCGCTGAATCGCGAGCGCTCCTGATCGTGAAAGAAAGTTCCGTGTTTTGTAAAGGGTGGGTTTGGTGTCTTAAATTGACACGTTCTTTCACGTGGGGCAGTTATATAAAATATACGTACATACGAGGCTGAATGAATAAATATTTTTTATTAGTTTGAGACCGTGTGTGCCATTTTCTATCAGGGTACCGTGAACAAGTTTGTCATTGGAAAACAGACTAATCAGACACTAATCTTCAGATGATTCGTCCTCTGAAATAAAAAAATGCGCGGTGCCAGGAAACGAATCCGTGACCGTCGGAATTAGGCCGGCCTGCTAAACTGCTACACCACCGAGCGCGTTAGTATTTTTTTATTCGTTTTATGTTACAGCATTGGGATTGGAGCGGATAACCGACAAGCCGTGGCACATCTGTGCATCCAGCGCGCTGTCCGGCGCCGGTCTGCCGGACGGCGTGGCGTGGCTCGCCAGACAGATACGGGACCTGCATGTCCCGCACTGATACCAACGTCACCACCAGTACAAGCTGACTGCGATGGATCAAAAACAATTTTAAAAGATTATTTTATATAGCCTTACCGTAAACTACACACTTACGATAATAGCACGAGCGCCCGGTAAAGCAGTTCAAATGTTAGGTTACTAAATCTAACTTTTCAGACCGGACTGCAACTATGAACATTGACATTAGACATTAGATTAATATTATACAATAAAATACTATATATAAAAGAATCATATATTCACCACTGTGTGTTGTATTCCATTCGCGACACAAGTTTGACTCATTTGCTCGATCACCCAGATGCAGGCTCATAACAAGAAGAACGAGTTTGTTATTATCAAATTTCTTGAGCAAGTTTCTTCAGTTCTTCACAATTGAGTCTAGAGACTGAACTCGGCGGTAGACTAATAGTAATAGAAATAATCTTTATTCAAATAAACTTTATGTGAGCACTTTTGAATAGTTATATTTTTATTCAACCATTCATTCTAAACGCAGACTCATAACAAGAAGGATTAAGAAACTTGCATGTTGCTGTTTGAAATAAATGTTGGTAATTTAGATTTTGTATGAATACATACTAATAAGTTTAAATATGTATGTAAATAAATGGTTATTTGAGTAACAAAGTGTAATTTGATATTGAGCAATATAATTAAGTAGACAGAATATAATACACTATTATATATTCATCTATACAATAAATAAAATTGGAGTGTCTGTTTGTAATATTGAAATAACCGTTTTTACTACATATATATGAATATAAATAACACACATACACCAAAAAACATTTTTTAAAATTTTTGTCTGTCTGGCTGTTTGTTCCAGTTAATCTCTGAAATGGCAGCACCGATTTTGACGGGACTTTTTATGGTAGGTAGCTGATGTAATAAGGAGTAACTTAGGCTACTTTTATTTTAGAAAAATAAAGTTAAATTCCACGCGGACTAAGACGGGAACAGCTAGTCTGTAATATCGCTAATACCACTAGTGCTAAACACGATTGACCAGCCCTTAAGTAAATAGTGTATTTTTAATGATAATACATATATTGCCAGTATACGTAATACAAATACTATCAAAGACGTATTATTAAAATGAAGGATATTATTTTTTTATGTATTTCATGTATTGTGATATCGCTCGCGTTACGTGATACGTGATGTACGTAGTGCTGTTTACGTATATAGGCAGCGGCTACCACTTACGATCGCTGAGATCTACTCTCTACTAATTATTAAAGTACTAATATCGCAATTAAAACATAGGGACGGAAGAAGGAAAATTTAGAGTTGTATTTTTATGGCAAATCATGGACCACCCTTATCAATTAGGAGCATGAAAAATAATTCACGTGCTATTCTAAGACCTGCTAAATATATATACAAAATTTCATAAGAATCCGTCAAGTCGCTTCCGAGGAGTTTTGTTACAAACACTGTGACGCGAGCATTTTATATATAAGATATATTTGTAATAAATACATAATATACTATTGAGATATATACTGTACAACAATACTTACAGATTCAAAATATATTTACTGTTATATATGTACATATAATAATAAGGTGACTGTATTACATTATACGAGTTGATATTTCAGTAGCGACTCGTGACCAGAATGTTTCTCACAACCACGTAATGTCCGAGCTCATAAAAATGACAATCATGGTAAATATATTAATATTGTTGTAAATGATGTTGAAAATAGTTTAAAACAAAATAAGTGGACGATAAAGGAAACCTGGGAATGTCGATTTATATTGCTGTATATTATTTGAACCTTCTGTATTTATTTGATTTTTATTAACATTAGAAATGTGGAAGTAACTCTGTCCGATTTACAACCACATAATATCAGAAGCTCATAAAAATGACAATCACGGTAAATATTGTATATTAATATTGTTGGAAACGATGTTGAAAATAGTTTAAAACAAAATCAACATGTCATATATAAATATAAGTATAGAATTGATTTATATTGCTGTATTTTATTTATACTTTGAGTATTACTTATACAAATAAATGAAATTGAAATGTCTGTTTGTAATTTCAAATTCAGCGATTCACCAAAAGCATAAGAATGTATATGCGGTACATAGAGCATAAAAAGTAATTTAAAAAAAATTGTCTTCCTGTCTTACTTTATTTGGTGGGAAATGATGGCGAGACCTAGGATATAGCGAGCTTACCCAGAAAAAATCTATTCACCACAGACTTAGAATCCGCGGTTGGTATTTCTCCGGAAACACGGAATCTGGAAATGGGTTCCACTCTTTGGCATTTTCACATTATTAAGAATATTTTTACAAAATGGGTTATTGGGCGGTATTTATTCAAGTTTATTGAACCTATATGCTGATCTACATTATATTAACTTTTAAAATATATTATTTCGTGAAAATTTTAACGCAATTATCCAGATGTTTTCATAAACGAACAGCAACATACGGACTGACAGATTTGACATTTTTTGTAAAGAAATAACAAAAATAAGTACTGATAAACACTTATTGATAATGTGACTATAGTAATAACAGTTAAGTAAGTTGACTTTGTACGGCCTCTTTTTATTTGTTCCGCCAGCTCACAGTTCAACGCGAATTAGCTATCAAAGAAGGAAATGAATAAAGTTTTATCTTTATCTTACACAGGCTGATCATAAAACAGACAAAAACTATGGAGTCGCCAACCACGGCCCGGACTGCGAGCGTTTCACAATTTCGTTAAAAATAGGAATCTTCATTAAAAAGGTCGAGTGCCTTGAAACAGTCATGGTCGACATAGATCGCTGTCCACCATCATGAAAGATGACTACTGGATCAAGGAAGTAGTGTATTTTTTTATGCTTGCAATCAAACGTACGTTTTTTTTTATTTTTTTAAGGTCCAATAAAGAATTATAAATAAAAAATAAAAAAATACGGCCCAGCTTATTGTAAAGTGACAGGAGTGTAATATTGTCGTAACCACAGAAATAATTATTTTTGTTATCATCATCAGCATTACCATTATATATATATATATATATGTATTGTTGTGTTTTTGAAATATGATTTAGCGATTTTATATAAATTTGTAGCCGATTTATTGTAAAAAATTATTCAAATATGTTTCAGATATTTAGCATAGCGTATAGCCTAAATTATTTAACGGGTATTAGCGCATGGTCGGTCGTAATACTGACCATATACATAGTCTATACATCTATACATATAAATAAAATTAGAGTCTGTTTGTAAGATAATCTCTGAATTGACGGACTTTTTTTGGCAGGTAGCTGATGTAATAAGGAGTAACTTAGGCTAATTTTATTTAAAATCAATGAAATAATATTCCACGCGGACGAAGTCGCGGGAACGGCTATATAAAATTAATTCGCTGTCGCTATCTGTCCTTATGTATGCTTAAATCTTTAAAACTACGTAATGCAATTTTGAAGTGGTTTTTTTAATATATAGAGTGATTCTAGAGGAAGGTTTATATATATAATAGATATATATATATAATAGATACCCGTGCGAAGCCGGGCGAGTGGCTAGTTATTTTATATGTTAGCAAGTTTATTATAAAGTTGCCCGAAAATGTTACTAATATTGTAAATGCAGAAGTTTGTTAGTGTAGATAGATGAGCGTTTGTTACATTTTCACACAAAAACTACTGGATTGTAATGAATCTGAAAGAAAGAAAGAAAAATATTTTATTCAGTGCAATGTAAAAAATACAATATAAACAACAAACGAAAAAAAAGAGCAAATAAAATGTACATATAATTAAACTTAATTTACCATAATATTATATAGCTTATATACCAGAATAACACACAGGCTATAAGAGTCACGCAGGTGAAACCACGGCCAGTTATTAAAACATAAAGTCACATTTGTGGTGGGGTGGTCGGCCGGGACATTGTATTCACCTCGGGTACCTCTTGAGGGAGATTGGAAGCTTCGGTATTTTTATTTATAAATAGAAATAATATTTATTCAAATAAAAGATAAAAATTTTGGAATGGTCACATTTTTTTATTTATCACTCATTCGGAATTGAGTATTTTTTTTATATTGATTTTATTTGTTTTACAGATTTTTTTAAATATATAAATATATTGGGATTGAAAAATTATTAATTAACTTACCTAGTTTTTTTTTTTTTTTTTTTATAAATATATTGGCCGCCTATGAGCACCCGCAACAGCAGGGGAATTGCAAGTACGTTGTCGGCATTTTAAAAAGGAATAAGCTCTTTTCTTGAAGGTTTCAATATCGAATCGGTTCGGAAATACCATTGCTGGAAGGTGATTCCACAATGTGGTACACTAGTACAGAAATAAACCTCGATTTGCTGATTTGACAATTAACATATTGACATTATTTGACATTGATGTTTTATTGTCAGTTGTGTAATATAATGGTAGAGTGTAATGTTTGATTTATTGTATGTTTTATGCATAATATTAAGAAAAACTATTAGCATTCTTCAGGACCAATCGTCGTGGAGATCTTTGGGGGAGGTCTATGTCCAGCAGTGGACGTCTTCCAGGCTGCGATGATGATGTTGATGATGATGATTAGCATTCTTCACTCTTCTACTTTTACTATAAGTAGGCAATATTTCATACTCCTCTGTTGTGCAATATTCGTAGAAAGGGGTACAAAGTTTTAGCTTCCTGTATATTAGTATCACTAGAATAGCAAATAAGCTAGTGGTTACATCTGATGGTAAGTGGTAACTGTGGCCTATATACATACATGTACAACAGCATGGACATCACGTCATCATGTCATGCCTGTGATACTCACCTTAAAAGGCAAACTACTTGGCGGCAAAAATACATGAAAATGTAAGACTTTTTCAACACAGGTCCTTAATATAGATGATATATAGTCAGAAATAACAAAATTATTTTGTATCACACATAATCAACGACGACCACGGTGGTAATGTAGTTTAGCACACCGCCTTACTTCCGATGGTCGCGTGTGCGATTCCCCGCACGGAACATTTGTATTCATGAGTACAATGTACAATATACTTACCTATGGAAAGATACAAACTATCGTAAGTTTGTATGTTTGCATATGTAAGTATTTACAAAGAAAACACAAGCTCTGCTTAACTTGGGACTAGATGACGTTGTGTGAATTGTTTTGAGATATCAAATGAATTTGTTTATATAAATTTCTGAAATAGATAACAAATCTGGTAATTTTCAAGTTCATTTGGGAAATTTCCGGCATTCCCGGAATATTCAAGGACTTCGATGGACACTTTATTTTCAGGAACCACGACGTAGTGGTTCACGCCGCCAGTCCGCATCCGACCCTCGAGGGGTGAACTTGTGGCGTCACGCTGCGCCCTCACCTCACTCCAAGTTACGTACGGAGCTCGCGATCCGCGACAATTAACATGCTAGTGCGTTACGGGTCCACATAATTCCGAGGATTGTGTGCTCATAGTGATGAATTCTAATGTTGTGTTGGTTTGTGATACATTTCGGATTACACGAGCCCGTCCGGTATACAGGTTTGTAACTGTTTTTATACAATATACTGTTTATTTAGACCATTAGAATCATCAAGAAATA